TGCTTATTTTAAACTGAATGATCTTTTTGCCCATTAAAGCACGCATTTTCATAATTTGGTTTCTAATTTTATTTAAGCATATACATACAAAACTTCAAATCATATTTCAAATTCATGTTAAGATTTTTTTAACAAAACTCTGTGAAATCCATAAATTGATCGCGACACCTAATTACAATAGAAACGAAAATATTTTATCAGAAAAAAGTAATGATATTAAGATAATATGTTTACTTTAAGTTAGTATTTGGTTGCATAACCCTTCTGCTTCAACACTGCCTCACACCGATTTCGCATTGATATAATAAGATTTCGGCAGCGCGCCACTGATATTGTTTACCATGCCGTTCTTCATCCATAAAATAGACATCAATTTTCAGGATATTTTGTCGCCTACTTTCCGGGGTGATTTGGATCGTTATCCTGTTAAGTTTTACAGGCAAACAGGTTTAACAGCAAATTCTCCTCAGCACAATGCAACATGGCGTTTTCCAGAATGACAACGTATTTCACCTTATTTAAAATTCTATTTATCCTATAGCGAGGACAAACACTATTAAAGTACATCATCCCCTTACCATGATTAATCATCCACTATTCTTTAATACCTATAAAGAGGATGAAATTCTTGGCTAATTTATGAACATACCTCCGACCATCAGGACCAATGCGATTATTTTTCGTTTCATAGTTCCAAACGACATAATTCGACTGGTTTAGCGTTCACCACCAATAAGAATTGTAGAGTATACTTCGGTTTTGCTCTCTTTGATATTTGAATAGTGAATTCATTCTGAATTTCACGTTGAATGTCCGAGGAACTCTTTTTTGGGTCTCTTCGCTAGATCACTGCTAATGCTACAGTTTCAAAATTCTGGATATGGTTAAGGCATTAAAAATTATCTTTTTGGAGCATTTGACTTGCTCCGCAATTTGCCTGTATGACTTTCCAGCTCTACGAATGTCAAAAATAGTGCCGAGTAATAGGTGTAGAGCTGTATCTTGGGATACAAGTTTTAACTGATTTTAAACAATAAATTTTAGATATATATTTACCTAAAATTAGTACATTATTACTGAAACAACACATCGTTATGTTTATGTTACTATTGAACAATCATTTCTAATTGACTGTCGCACTTTATTGACTTAACACCAAGTAATGTATGCACAAAGTGGGAAACACAACTGGAGACATTCGCAAATTTTACTATTATGCTCAACAAGCACCTACAAGAAGAAAGTTTCTAATTAGTTAATTAACAGCATAATATATATAATTGGCGCTGTGTAATCGCTGAAGCGTTTTTATCCGAGCTCCTCCTCCATTTTGTGATTTTTCGTCTTAATGTTTTTCCAACAAATTGAGGGACCTACAGCTTATACTAAGCCGCCTCCAAAAGGCTGACAGTTTTTTATGAGGAGCTTTATTTCATGTCAGAAATACACTCGTAGGGGTTGACATTCCCTGCCGAGGGGCGACCGCAATTAGAAAATGTAGCATTAATTTTTTATTAATAATTCCTAATTTTCTATAACTTTTTGGATGTTAGTACGACACCAGGATTTGAACCCGAAATATCCGAATTGCAGTATCCAATGCTAACCACTCGGCTACAGCGACCGCAAAATATATTTTAGTGATCTTCTTGAGCAATCACCTCTCAAAACGAGCAACCACCTCTTAGCTCGATTGTAATTGGATTCAACATAACAAAACCTGTGAATAAAGTGGAGTCCTGTTGACGTCACAAATATAATTTTAAATAAATCTAATAAAAGTCGGAATTTTTAAACCCGAAATCTACTCGCAAAAGAGACAAAATTGTTTAAATGATTTGGACCGAAACAGATTGTCGTCGGAATCAGAATTGAAACCGACAAAATTCTGATAAAAAGGTTACACATTCGGATTATTGATTTGCATATCGTTTTCATTTTCGAAACATGATTTGTGTCGATTTTAGGTGTTACAGAAACCGATTTATCAGTTTAAATATCAGGATTAAACCGAGCAGTCGTTCATTCCTAAAATTATCCAGCGTGGCAATTCTAACTTGTTTTCAATGACATCCAGCACTATTACAAAAGCTTCTTTTATTGGTCTATGAACCTACATACAAATAAATTTTGTATCAGCAAATGCAAAAGTAGAATGCAATATGAACTTACTCGTCCAGCGACTCTGGCAGCTCCAGGAGAATGCTCTTATTTCTTACAATTTTGCGCTTTATTATCTTGATGGGTTCTCCAAATCCTTCTATAATCAAAAATGCTATCACTGTCGAAGACATTTTATTTTTAGTTAATAATCAAATGTGTTAAAACCAATACAAAAATTAAATTGAATTTTTGGGTTTTTTCACAATTGTGATGGCAGCTGAATGGCGGTTTTACTTATCTTCGAAAAAAGCAAAATCAAGTTGGTTTCATAACACCATTTCAAAGTGATATTGGTTTTCAATTGCGATAAGTAAGCAATTCTGTGTCGGTTTCTATAACACCCCAAAATGTTTGAAGAAATAATACATCAAATAGCAATAGTAAGACTGGAAATCCATTTAAAGCCATGGAGGGGGCTTGTATGTCCAAATTAAAATACTTCAATCGGCGAAAGCAAAATCAAAATCATAACAAAAATGTACTCGGTCTAATGTACAATATTCACATACATTTGTACTCACATTGGAGGGGTACATATTAGAAAGACAGACTTTTGCAGTACATCAGCATTGCTTCTGATGGTTAACTTCATTCGCTTCAAGCGCTACTAAGGTTTCAGCTTTTGGCGAGGGCGTTAGACCGTTGGTAACAAAGTTTTGTCGTAGCCATTCAGTCGATATGTTTTTATACATGCGTACATTTATATTTATATTTCACTTCTCACAAACGACAGTCGGATGCTTATTCATCAACAATTACCGGTAAGGTTCTTTCAATCTTTATTTATGACAAACCGTTGAAATGAAGTTCGCTCTATGATTTCTTTAACATTGCTTCACTGTACATCCGAGTGTTAACATTTAACCAAGTCTATCTATTATATGCAAATGCTCTGTCCTGTTGTGGGGTAGGGGTCCAAAAATTTTTCCGCGGCAAGGCATGCCTTACGACAAGCGATTAAAATCCAAAAGTTCCCGCGACAGTACAGGAACAACCCGTTTTATCCGGTGAAGGGCTGTCCTTCCGCAACACTCCCCAAATATGCAGCTCTTATTTCTTGTTAATTTTTGCATTCCTGCCATAAACGTATGTATATATACATACAGTACATTAACTATTTGATCACACCTGGGTATCAGAAAAAGATACAAGTTACAATTTTAATTTGTAATGGCACTCCAATTTTGTTTCATATACAATACAATTTAAGGTAATAAATTAAAAGTAACATATTTTATTTCAAGACCCCTGTTAGCTTTCTTAGAATTGTTAAAAATATATCCGCCAAACATTTGATCAATTGGTTGATATAAATGATTTTTTCACTATTTTCCTTTCATTACTGCCTCAATTCGTTTCGGCATGGACTCGGACCACTTTACTGCAGAAATCTCCGCTAATATTTTGCCAGTCATTTTGAGCGGTCTGCCATAAATCGTTAAAATGCTGACGCTTACTTATCTGGTAAATCAGAAATCGCAGACTTGACTTCAACCTAAGCATGGTCTGGGGATTGAGGGGCCAGTCGAGTACTTCATAGCTGTTGTTTTGAACCCAAGCTTTGGCTACGAGAAGTCATTATCTTGCGGTTTATTTCTATATCGAATGACTATATGACTCGGATCTAGTCGTTTTGGGTGTAGGTTTTATAATATTCTGCAAATTGGAGCCTAATTTACAATGCTATTTTGTCAAGGGTAGATTTTTTTTACTTTGACACGTCCGCGTAATCCGTTTTCCCGCGATGTCTTCTTGAAAGCTTCCTTTGTTACATTTGTTCCATCACCATGGAAGAGATCAGACATGATTTGGCCCGCATTTTCATACACACCAAACTTTATTTGTCTCAGCAGGGTCTTTCCAGTGTGGCGTTCAAAATTGGCATTCGTCCAGCAGAACAATATTACGTCGATAATAGTTCTCTACTTCACGAAGTCAACTTATTAATCACATGTCTTTGTTTACATTTGTAAATATTCTTTGAAAAGTAACGGCATATTTCCAACCATTTCGCACTTATTAACTGAGACTTCATGGGACTATTTAGTGAACTCGTCTTTCTTATTCAAAAGTTTATTTTATAGATAGAACTAGATATTATAGTATGTGAAAATGGTATGTGATCAAATAGCTGACTTACTGTATATGTATGCTACATTGGTACGTATTTCTACTATTGTATAAATGCAACTCTTGTAACCGTTTTAAATTGTGTTACTGCTCATCATTGCTTCTACCTTTAAATAAGTGCTTGACTCCACTCACCACTAAAGGTGTCTCGCCGTCTCGTCGGCTTATTTAGTACCTTCTTGTAACGTTGGTTATGTTGTCCTTATTTTGTTGAGAACAGTACTTTTAAAATAAAGGTCTCACAAAACATAAGTTACATACAAAGTCTTTTTGTGATCTTATGATCGCATTTTTGTCAGCAAAAAGAAAGCGGTTTAAAAGGAAAATAATATTAAAACTTTAATATTAGTGATATACTCACAAAATAAGAGCCTAAATATAATTTTGCTTAAATAGTAATAAGTCATTTATTGCATTTGTGTTATGTATTGGTTCAACTGCTCAGTTGCATGTGTGAATAATCAGTTGTTGGAACATACACGTATTGTTCTAAATAATTCATTCTAAAACCAAAAAATTAACTTTTATTTAGCTAACTTTTTCCTAACAATTTTAATTTTTCTAAACGAACTATTTAAATCATCATCGTGAAATTATACATATGTATGTATTATACATATATTGCAATTTTGGAAATTATTAAAAGAAATTCCGATATTATTAAAATAGATATTATATTATCGTATATTGCCGTTGTATACTTATAGGTCCAACAGCGGTGCAAATGGTTTCACAAAATCGTCCTGCAACAATATCAGTACCGGTCCAAGTACCTCAAAATCAAGTGATGCAGCAATATGTTAATGAAAGCAGCCCCTTTGCACATGTTGTTTTATCTCCCCAATACCAACAACTCCATTCCAGCCAAGGACATATGCATGCCCCATTCGTAAGTTAATTAATTAACGAATTAACAAAATACAAAGAAAGATAATTAATTGCTTAGTTTATTAATTGATTGTGCTGTGAGTGCGAATCGAGAAGTTACAATTTTTTTTAGATTTACTCGCAGTTTATATTTTTTATTTTCCATAAATTCCTAAATATACTAAAAAGTGAATAAGATCTTATTACATGTGCAATCTGTGCACTTCAGTGTGTAAGCGGAATCATTAAAAGTCATCATCATCATACTGTATTAATGATTGATGCAATCTATCAAGGAAAAACATACACCGCAATCGTGATTTAGCCAATTTTCCCCGTCTATGAATCCTTGTAGAAATATATAAAAATTGAAAACTTTAAGATACCAACGGACAGTGTTTGTTTCAATCCCGCGCTCAAAATCTCGGATTTCGTGGTTTTAAACGTACAGGCATTTAAGGAAATGGATCGATAAACAACCGTACAACGCGCTAAAACTGTAATATCCAACTACAAAAAAGTGATTCAAGTGGACACATATGATACTCAAGAAATTGATAAAAATTTTCTTCAGGGACAAAGCATATTTCTTACTCGGGGGATGCATAAATAAAAAAATTTGGAGTTCCGAGAATCCTAAAATAATGCACCCAAAAGAACTTACGAATCTGATTGGACGATATTTAATTGCAAGCAAAAACGACGGGAATGAGACTGGCAACTGAATTTCTTACTTACATTTGAAGAGCACTACTTGGAGAATATGTGGTTTCAATGTGGTGCCACATGTCACACAACACGAGCGAACATTTATTTATTACGATTGAAATCTCCCGGCCGCACAATCTCTCGTCATGACGATGTCAGTTGACCGCCGAGATTTTACGATTTGACCGTGTTTTTGGAGATAAAGAGTTAAGATATCGCCCAATACGTACCAAAGAGTTAAGATATCGTCCAATATGTACCAAAAAGTGGGCAAATATTCGCGAGGCCAAAGTTGAAAATTAAAAATAAATAAAATTCGTGAGAAACGCATTTATTTATATTACGCTGGGTTCTAAACCTGAGAAATATTATTGTAACACATAGAGTCGGTATCAAATATTTTGATTTCCCATAATTTATATTATATTTAAGAACTTAGAACTCATTTTCAACCAGAGATTGCATTTTCTTTTATTTTATCTTTTAGTTGACAGCAAATGGAACTTCGCACTTTTATTCGCCGCTTACGGCAGGATTCGCTCCAGGCCCAGGTAGCGGGCCAACACATTTTCACGCCTTATCAAGTGGACACGTACAAACGCAACAATCTACTCAACAGCAACAACCAGTTGTCCCGCAAAAACAGCAAACGCCGTCGCAACAACCTTTATCACATTCGCCTTCGCCTCCTAATAGCTATCATAAAGATGAACGCACCCAACGTCAACACACAAAGTTGCTTCGAAAACTTGAAAAACAACGCGAATTGAGTAAGTAATTATACTTTTCAAACATATACATATCTGTGACTGCCAATAATTTGATAGCTGGTTTTGTTCTATACTACTGCGCTATAAGTATGTACCTAATTACATATCCAATTTTCAAAATGCAAAAGAAATAGTATAAGACATACCAAACGATGAAATAAGCATTTTAAACGCTGATTAAATAATAAATTAAACTCGTTCTTCAAATCAATCCCTTCTACAACACAGAAGTAATAGATTATTAAAAATCATATATTTCCAGATTCCCTACTTATAAAAAAAATTGCAGAAAATTTAAATTTAATGGGGAATTTTTATTCTCTTTCGAAGGAACATTTGACATTTAGTTTTTGAAGATTCTTTCTTTGAGTACAATTTTCAATGACTCGTTCGAGCATTTCGACGGGTAACTGGCGAATGATTCGCGTGGTGTTTTGTTCCAAGGCCTGAATCGGAGCGACATTGTCCGAATATACTTTAGACTTTACTTATCCCCACAGGAAAAAGTCTAACGGTGAGATGATGGCCAATCGACCGCTCCAAAACTGCTACCGAAGGGTTTTTTCAATAAATCCTTTGATGCGATGTGCGGGAAACGGCGCCGTCTTGTTGAAACCAAATGACCCCGAGATCACGAACTTCAATTTCAGGCATCAAATAGTTGGTTATCGTGGCGCGATAATGATCGCCTTTGACGGTTATGTTCTCGCCGGAATCAGTTTTGAAGAAATATGGACTGATGATTCCATCACACCAAACCGCTGTTTTCAGGATGAAATAACAGCTCTTGAATCTCTTCAGAAAGAATGCTGAGTCTCAAGATGTGTGAAAGCTGATGGTTTTTTATGAAGAGCCTTTATTTCATGTCAGAAATACACTTGGAGGGGTTGACATTCTCTGTCGAGGGGGTTAGAAAATTGAACTTAATTTTGGTTTTAAATAAATTTTTTATAACTTTTGGATGATTGGATGAATTTTTGAAAACAGATTTTCTCCCGAAATAAACCCATGTAGCCAATTGACACCAAACGTACCGGCATTTTTCTATACCTAATTTTACCATAGGGGGTCATTTGACCTCTTTTGAAATAAACGTAGAATTTTTCGTAAAAAAATTCTTTATTTATTAAAATTGAACACATATTTTCAGCCAGCAAGCAAATTTTTTTACAAATCACGCAAGTTTGTGTTGTTTTATTGCCTGCACACAATTTAATATTTCTTTGGGCGTGTGTCGTTGGCCCTAATACTGATACTCTTCTGTCTTCTACAGAGATTCAAAAAATATTCATTTTCATCGGCAACCACATTATCACTATGAGTTTTCTCATTGTCTCGAAAATCCCTTTGACTTTTGCTTGATTATCTGCAAAAAATGAATGTTCTTCACAAGCCCAATTGAATGTAACAGAAATTTTAAAAATCCTTATTAAAACTGCCGTGTATTGCAATTGCTTGGAAGATTCACTTGAGAAGCGTATTTAATTTTATAATTGAGTTTAGAACTAAGGTTCTACATGTACCTGCTAAAAATACATAAAGTTCATATGGGGACCTTCCATGGTACATAAGGTAGGTATAGAATTTTTGTTTGTAAAAAATAATCGACGAGAAAAACGGGAAGTGGGAAATTGAATAATCCGATGATATTAGAATTTACAGAAAGTCAAATGATCGACAGAAATAAAAATATATTTACGAATTTAAAGAAAATTTTCAAAAAGAGTAGTTTTATATTTTAGCCGTTCATTTACATTGATAAGTACTAATTATTATATAATATTTATTGAAAGATTCCGGTATGTCAACGCCGACGCATGCTCCTTCTCCTCGCCATAGCATTTTAAATGGATTTCACAGTCTCTCAGTTGTCTCACCTAACAGTAGCGGGGTAAATGGAACTAAGAACCATGTTTCAACTCCTGGAATATTGACAACAGATGCAACAAGTTCGAGCTCGTCTATAGCAAATTCAACCAATAGTATAAGAGGATTGTCCACTCCCCAAAATCAGTTCCAAAATCACACTGATATTCAACCGGACTTATCCTCGTCACATTTGGTAAAAAATTATAGTTTTCATTCCGGAACTACAAAAAAATATGATAAGGTAACAACTACTGCACATCTGCTAAACAATGCAACTCATCTTAAAAAGAAAAGAAGTGAAACTGACGCTCAAGAGGACACCTCTGAGATGAATTTAAATACTTTTGAAGGTGAAGAAGACTGTCAAAGTTTGCTCATAGAACAACTTTCTGCTATACGCAAACCAAGCGTAAGTACGAATAAACTCGAAAGTATTTATTTTACAATACCGTTGTCTCTTTATCTTAACAGGTAATTAACGTAACTTCAAGATCGGCGAAAATTATTTGGGAAGCGCCAGTTATTACGGACCCACAGATCAATATTCGCGAATTCCGTTACAATGTGCTATTTAGTGATCGTGCTAAGGACGGAAAGTACAAGAGTTTATACAAAGGTGATTCGTTTGAATGTATTGTGCAAGATTTGTTACCAGGACAGTTATATGTAGTCCGACTACAGGTTAGCTTTGTACAGTTCAATATACAATTCAACTATAAATAAAAATATATTTACTTAATAATTAGGTGCATTACGAAAAGTTACAGGGATCTCCTTCTGATCCTGCCGAATTCACGACCCCACCATGCGAACCAGATCAACCTATGCCACCAAAATTAGTAATGCGAACCAAAAATTCATTGCACTTGCGTTGGAATAATCCTGCAGCAAACGGTTCGCCCATTCAACATTATTTGCTGGAATATGACGAGGGTAAATCTGTATCGTCTACTCGAGCAGCTCTCCAAAATATTGATAATGAAGTGCAGCAATTTGTAGAAGCAACGAAAACTCGAGGCAAACACTATACCCTTACTAAATTACATCCTTCTACTGCATACAATTTTCGTTTGGCTGCAATCAACGAAATGGGTATGTCCTCGTACTCAACGATCTGCTCATATGCAACTTCGGGTAATCCGCCGACTTCACCGAAACCTCCGAAACTCCAGTCTAGCAGTTCAACTTCTCTTCGGCTTTGGTGGGAACGTCGACAACAAGATGGCGATTATATATTGCAAATTCTTGATCGCGAGTCAGGTCATGGGTATCTTAACGCTTATAATGGTCCAGATTCCAGCCACGAATGCTCCCAACTGCGACGGGCGACGGCTTATCAATTTCGTTTACGAGCAGAAAATGAGGCTGGTTGTTCCCCTTGGTCTAATGAAATTACTTTTCAAACTGCGCCAGAAAAGCCAGGGAGACCAGGAAAACCTTATGTTAAAGGTAAAATACATGGAACCCACTTTCGAGCTCGATGGGATCCGCCCACAGATACTGGTGGCGCCGAAATTCTTCGATACTATCTCGAAATTACGTCTGGTTCTAAATTTGAACGCATTTATAGTGGGACTGATACAGAGACTAATTGTGACCGACTTCAACCGGGCACAACGTATCAGTTGCGCACATCTTGCGAAGGTCCTGCAGGCCTCAGTCCGTATTCCGATATTGCACATATAACATCAGAAGCCTTAGTACCTGCGGCCCCACCACCTCCATATTACGATAATCCGCCAGGGCGTAATGTAGCGGTATTAAGACTGGAAAAACCAGATGACAATGGCGGTGCGCCAGTTTTGGAATTCGAGGTGCAAATGAGACGTTCTTTGGAGGAACAATTCGATATTGCAAAAAAAGTAAATGAGAAATCAATTGTTTATCACGGACGAGATACATATTGTATGGTCAAAGATTTACAGCCTGGATCTTCTTATGAAGTTCAGGTGCGTGTATTTAATCGCATTGGGGCAGGCCCTTGGTCTTCATGGTTTCGTTTCTCAACAGCTGCGGGCCCACCAAACGCACCGCACGATTTGAAAGTTACTGTCAAATCCGCAACTCATTTATTTGTCAATTGGGAAGAGCCTAGTTGTAATGGTGCACCTATTATAGAATATCACCTAGAAAGTTTAACTGTTGATAACGAAAATGAATCTATTTTAGAAGAATCATCAGAAACGAGAACCTACCACACTTGTTATCAAGGTGAGCATAAAAGTATCGATTTACGTAATTTAGCACCCTTTACAATATATTACTTTCGAGTAAATGCGACTAACACGGTTGGTGTGAGTAAGTGGTCCACAAGTATTACGGCACGAACACCGGCGTCAGTACCTGCTGCACCACAAATTAAAGACTGCGAATTTACTGCAAACAAAGCAGTCTTCAATTGGACAGAGCCTGAATGTAATGGGGCTCCCATTACGGCATATAATATTGAATATGCAGAAAACTTACTTACTACGACGAATGCAAATACAAATTACACCATCACCGAATTAATTCCTGAAACAACGTATAAACTCCGCTTACAAGCCATTAATAGCATTGGTCCAGGACCATATTCATCATACACAAAATTTACAACCTTGCCTTCGCCGCCATTGCCACCTGTACTCGAATGTACAGGAGTGGGACATAACTTCGTAAAACTAAAGTGGGGTGATGGCAAGAATCTAGATTTCACCAAGTACTATGTAGAAATGTTTGTACAGCGAGCAAAGGAGTTCCAATTAGTTTACTCTGGTACGAGCTGTATGTGCAAAGTTAACAAGCTGCAAGAGTGCACTGCTTATACATTCCGAATATATGCAAGTACCGATCGGGCCGGTACTGGCGACTTCTCAGACGAATACACTTTTAAAACAACTCCTACATTTCCGAGCAGTATTAAAGCACCCAGGGTTGCCATGGAAGGGGCTGCTGCTTGCTTAGTAACACACGGTGTTGGTGGAGGAAGTGGTTTTATTCCATCTGGAATGATTCCTGAAACGCCTACAAGTTTTATTGCTGGTCTAGGTAACCTTTCTCTAGGCGTGCCACTTACTCTTGAATGGCAAAATTCAAAAAATAGTTTTTCTGATCGAGTTGAGTATGTACTGCAGTATGCGATTGGCAAAGATGGTGACTATAAGCGGGTAAGTTAAACAAATATTTCCAACTTTCATTTCTAAAATGTTTGTATATTTATTTTATTATACACAAATAAACGTGATAATTAATTTACTCAATAAATGCAAATTGGCTAAGAATTCAATAAGAGTTCGGTTCCTCCAATAGAACTATGAAGTCAATATTTCGCCACTTTATAGATAGATAGAATTCGGATTATGTCTAAGAGAGCTTTTAAAATCGCTAGATTAGGAAATTCCCATCTCTTGATTTTTCTTTTCCATAGTTTTGCAAGTTGGTCTGGCCCGGGTGTGTAGTTGCAGTAATTTTTCCGCTTTAGCCGATCATATTATGAAATATAATAATATTTTCTCAGAAAAGTTGATTGAACATATTAAACCCAAATTATTGAGAATAAACGACATACTTACACTTACATAAATAACATACGAATATGTATGTATGTAAATACAGGCATTGTACGAGTATTAGGCGAGCTGCTGGGCGGTAACATTTGTTACCAGATGCCAATTCTTACTGTAACGTACAAGCAAAATTAGGCTGGAGGGAAATCATCGACTGCCTATGAGCGACAAGTTGTTGCAAAGCTTTACATAAATCTTCGTCCTCAAAAAGGACTATCAGAAAAAATAATAGATATCTTCTTTGTTTGACGTTCATGAACGATGTAAAATTATATCATTGCTGAACTACTATAATTATTGAATACAATTACGAAATTAAAATTATAAAACCGCCATAAAACTTTCGAAGTGCAAGAACCAATATATATCTGGAATGCATGATGTCATATCCCGTCAGCTCGTAGAACGATTTTCCCATCACTTTCTTAAGACCGAAGCGACAAATGTGATGTTTATATTTGTATACGTGTACGTCATTCTCTCTTCGTTTCCTTGTGCATTATCGCCATTATTGTCGGACATACAACAGCATTGATACAAAACGAAAACAATAGTAACGTAAAAAAAAACGCAGCAGTGTCGTACAAGCCGAACACAGATGAGCGACAGCATTGATGCCGAAGGAAATCAGTTTTGACATAAATTTTCTCTACATATGTACATACATACAAATATTATTAAGATTCAGTCTTAATTTCTATATTTTACATAATACAGGTACATGTTTACGTACTATACAAAAGAAATAACAATACAACAATAAATTCGTATTCAAAAAAAAAAGAAAGCAAAATGGTGACAAAGCTCCTCAGCTCCACGATTGCCTCTGTCATAATCACGGCTCCTTTGAAGTATAAAGACATCTATGTAAAAGAAAAAAATAATGTTAGAATCATAATGTTATTAATGTCTAAATGCAGTTGTACCTTGCAAAGTTTTGTCGAATCCTTGTAAATCAGCTACTACTGCAAGATGAGAAGCGTCTATTCCAGTCAACCTGCTCCATTAACAGGATTTTTCTCACAATATGCCCTTAAATAAAGACAATGTGAATAGTAATGACAAATGAAGTAGTTAATTAATCGACAATATATTATATTAAAACCCGCTGCTTGTATGGGATCCTTATCCATATTTTTCACTTTTTTACGTTCTCGGCTATCTGCTGCAATCTACTTGAAAATAAGAACATAAAGTAAAACGGATTATCCGTTCAACTGCATTTTCCTTCAATTTGTATGTACTCATAAGAGAAAGATAAACAAAAAATGTGCTTATATGTTACTGCTGTCCGAAATCATGTGAGCGTTTGGTGAAAGCATCAGCCCGTTCTTGCAGGGTTGTGTAAATGAAGGGATTCAGATGAAACTGCCTAAACAAACAGCTGTTTTCAACATCTTGGTCAGTTTTTCCTAAATATTGTTCTGTTCGACGAAAATTAAGACGTTAGTGGCCAATGCTTACTGACTTTTCTAGCCAAACAGAGTTATTATTTCAGAAATTTAAAGGTTAGAATAAATTTGGTTAATCCTAAATTCTTTTTCGTTTTGATTTTTAGATTTATAGGGGTCCAGAGACCAAGTTTACAATCGAAAACCTGGAACCCGGAGCAATATACCAATTTCGAGTTTGCCCTATCCGCGTCACAATGGATGGTGAAGACTTACAGGGCCAATATACTTCAGCATTCCGATATCAAGTTCCACACTTTGCAGCACTTGATCACATTGACCACAACATATTAGGAAATATGACGAATGTTTTCGGAACAAGCTCTACTGGTGTGAACGGTAACAGCAACGGATCCTTGGGCTGTCACGGTCACTCCCACATGGCCCATCACGTTCATAGCATGCATGCTCATCACACTCACAACAATTCTTCTCACAGTCATTCGCATCATAACAGTAGACAATCATCATCCGGTCTTCATCATCGTTCTGTAAGTGCATCTGCTGCAAGCAGCAACAGCAGTGCCAACATTAATGGTAATAGTAACAATGGTAGCAACGCTATACTTATCGGTCCTAATGCCATTGGATTAATACCATTGGGTACTGCGATGGCCAATGAATTATCCGCTGTTGGATTTACTAACTGTGAGGATCCACTACATCACCACCACCACCATCATCATCATCATCAATTCCATGGAACCAATGTTGATGATGTGGATGAATCAGAGATATCTACGCAAACTACTGCAACATTCTTAGCCGCTACTGCAAATACTTTGCTAACAAACAACCCACTATTAGCACATGGTATCGCTTCTGTCAATCCAGTTCAACATGGTGCTGTACGGCGTTGTATGAGCAAATTAACTACGATATATACAAACAGAAAACGTTTTACTGATCAGGAAAAAGCAGTCTTGTTTATGGTTTGTTTTCTATTTTTTACATTCTTGTTTGCAACGCTTGTTAAAGCGTTAATGCGATAAAACCAATAGCAAGGTTTTGCAAAACGACAAGATAACTCTATTAATATGATATGAAAACATACTTTGAAAGCAAAAATTTTTAATGAGCTCAAATATCTAATGTTTAAATGTGAAGATATATGTACACACGTGAATATAAACATATACATACATGGTGAAAGTTTATAACATAATTCATATTAAGTAGTTGGCTACATTGTATATTTTTTATTTATATTTATAATAAACAAATTGCTTATAACACTCCAGAAGTTAAAATTATAGAAAATTTTCATAAAAAAAATGTTTCCTTTACGTTATAATTTATGTTTTTTTATTTTTAATATAATTGGCAGCTGTAATATTCATTTGTTTCATTATATTTCACTTCCCTTTTTAATTGAAGAAGTCGGAATACATTTGATGCCCCACAATTCCTATATACGACACCAAATATATATAAATATGCATATGTTAGCATGTTCATCATTAATATCACCGTCCGACAAAAATCAACTTTTTTGACCCACGAAAAAATCAAACATTTTCGAAAACTAGGACCAAAAAAATATCCGTGTCCGTGAGAAGTGACTAATCTCTTTTAAAAATTATTAATAATTTATAAAAATTGGTAGCTAGGATTTATTAGGGTTCTTCTGCATATCCCAGGAGCGAATTGTAATGGCTTTCCAATAGTAGTAAGTTACATTTACTGTATTCTGCAACCTCCAGTATCTATTACAATTTGTACAGGGTTTGTGTTTGAAAATTCATTCATTACCACTTCACTACCATTTTTTAAGGAATAGTTCACCTAGACAATTTACCACTTCATTAGCATAAAACATTGAAATTAAAAATGCAAACTTATTTTATTTATTCTTCAAAAATTATTTTGAATATATGTAAATATATATACATAAAAATAAATATGCATTCCAAAGATAATAGAACTTCGATCTTCGATTTTCGCAACACCGGAAGCAACTTATTGAAATTTTCTCTTTATATGTATATTGCTTTCCATTCCCCTTTTTGATAAAATTTTAACTAAACTTTCACTAATATTGTTCGAACTTTGCTTAAAACTATTTCAATTTTCATCAATTTCATTCGTTCCCAACAATTGCTTCTAAAATGTTTATACATATTTAAAATAAGCGGCTTTTCGTATGGCTTCGAATACATAATTAACAAAATGGTTCTTTATTTTTTATAACTATATACATAATTAAAAATTTTGAAGTCGCTTTTTTACCCAGTTGCGATCAATAGAATACTATTGTAAAACGCAGCAATGTTTAAAGTAAAAGCAAAGTCCATAAATTCCATTTAAATAATGCGTAATTTTTTTGAGTTTAGTTGCCGCGACGTTCGCGACCGCAGCGACTACGCGTTATGGATAACTAAATTTTTCGGTGAGGCAATTTGCTACTGGGATATAAACATGCATATGCATGCGGAAAGAAAACTGAAATTGCAAGAAGCAATTAGCCAGTGCCTAAAGTTATGCAAGGCTTTACGGTCCTCGCGTAAACACATGCATATGAATTTTGAAGAGGCATTTGACTACCAAATCGTTTGTAAAATAATTCATAAATTTAATTCAATAAATCCGCTGAGCTGTGCAATTCAATTATCCATGCTGACTAGTTTTGTATTGTGCACAAAGGTATCTCCAGTTAATGGTTGTATATAAAAGCATAAGATAATCGAAATGTACGAGTACATATTTATCGAACTATAAAATAGCGATTTAACTCCATCCTGTCGATGTGTTCAGCAGATAACTCAGATACAGTCAGATGTAGCAGTGATGATTGAACCTACTTACACAATTATTTTGGTATATTAACGGAAAACGAATAGAGAAGACTAACTGAAAGCGACCACTAGCTCAAAGTTACAAAAACACTTAACAAAACAATGCTTGTTATTATGTTAAGTATTAAAATTGAAAAAAAATATATATATTTTTTAATGGGTTCTGCTTAAATTTTACGTGAATCAAACGGATATAAAAATTTAGATCATTACCAATCAACAATACATGCGTATAAAATATATATGGAAATTAATTATATTTCTATTTTGTGTACGTTTAAACGTACTTAAGTACGACATCGACATAAGGCTAAATATTCATTCAGCTGAAGTTATAGTAGAAACTCTTCACTTATCCATCGTCTCGCGCCGTATTCAGTTATATCTTGAATATTATCCTCTTTGGAGTGCAAACGTAAAATACCCCGCAAACCATTTTACCACAATCGACAAAATGTAACTCTTGCTCTTAAAGTCTTACAAGTTTTAATAAACCAAATGGTGCTATAACAAATAGTCCACCGATCTGGCTGGTTCCGCCAATGATCAACACAATAAAAAATATACACCCGTATATTAAGTTTCGTTCAAATATTTCAAAATTCGAGAGCCTAATTTGCGTTCAGATTGACGGACAGACATGACAAGCAAACGAACAAGCGTCATAAGCGTTTTGTGTCAATAACGTGAACTAGCTTATAGAATTTTGTGTATGATACTAGACAACGTTATAACGGTATATCGTAAGGCTTCGAAGTTTTTTCGATTACTTAGTATGGTCGTGAGTTATCGATTTACATCAGAAACACAAATTACAAAATTCAAATTTTGGTGGTAAGATTCAATACAATCTTCAAATTTCATATTACTCTAATCCAGATAAATCCGAGGCATACAAGTTTCCTACAACTTTCATAAATCTCTGTTCTTCAATCAATGAAATCTGAAAAAATATAATTTTTTTATGATTCTCGTATGTGACTTTATTGTGTATATACTTGAAAACATGTATTTCATTAATTTCCCTTTATTGGATGGATTCGAAGCATTTTCATTATAATAGCACAGCTTTTATTTCAAAGAAAATATAGAATATTGGTATATCTTACAACCCAAGCATGCCCGATGGTTTTGTATTGTAAACAATTTGATTATATGTACAATAATACAAAATACAATTAAGACTTCCATTACGATAAATACAACGCACTATTAAACTCATTAAATATATTTAAATTTATTTTAAATTCATATTATTTTAATACAAAAGTTAATGTTTTGGGGAATAACAAATTTTCTTATATACCAAAGTATCATGTGTACACGTATGTAGAGGTATTGTAAGTTATGTTTGGTAACTACATATATACGCTCGTGAACATTACTAGCGCCGCATACAAGGTATATATATAATTTTTCATAAACACATTGGAAAAAATCTCTAAAAAATTCTTATGACGAATTTAATTAGAAGTAAATATTATATTAGATGGTTATCCAGCATTTTATTGAATTAAGCTAAGATGCATTGTCAAAGATAATCAAGGCAATTTTAACCTCTTTTTAGCATGCTTTCTGGGTATGCTCGGTCATGCTTTGCTCGTTTGCCCAATATATCCATGATTCAGAACATATAACTAACAATAACTACGGAAAATAATATTTTTTGAAAGGAACACTGGAGTATATGTATGTTGTGGTTTGTTTGAATTGCAGTTATGTATATGACCACATAATTACGAATGTACATATATATTCGTATTGCTTGGCATAAATCTATAATCAACATTAGTAACTAAGTAATTACTTTGCTGATGGACTTACCTATAGCTATTGAAGACGATATTGATATTGATATGAGCCATAAACAAAATAAAAAAATTAAACAATGTGCATTATTTAGTATTCGATATGAAGTGTATGTATTAAAACTAATATGATAAAAGTTATTATGAAGTATACAAATAAGTGTAATTGTTTATTATGACTACACATTATTATGACATCAGTAATGCAAAATATTTAGATTACATAGTAAAAGTATCCCATATATAACTTATAATACATACATATATAGAAACATACATGTAATAAAATATATTCATAAAACTTAAATAAAAACTTTTGTTTAACTGCAAATAAATGTCATTTCAAAATTGTGTATTCATGTCTAACCAAAATCTGCAAGGTCAATCAGAAGGCTTTTCAGAAGCATTTATTTTCTAAACACCGTAAAAAGAGATTTTAAAAGCTCTTTTCTTGTTTTGGGAAATGCATTTCGAAAAGCGAGTTTTGACGGGTTTTATTTAAAATATAAGGCTTACCATCACCTCGCGAAAAATTTGAGACCAGTTGAAACAAAATTACTGCAATTTATTAATGAGGGTAAGTGGTACACAGTTGTTGTTCTTGTAACGGTTTTTCATCGAGGTCATCTAATGTCAGGTCCAGGAAACGAGGTGTTTCGACGGGTTCAGACCAGATAGAAATGGAGGGTTAGATGAGTTGGTTTTAGAGGGCCCCGGGGACTCATAACGCCTGGACATACATTAGGTATGTCGGCGTCTAGTCTGGATAAGTAGGAATTTAATCTACTACAATATCCTGATTTAAGTTGAGCCAGTACTACGCGGTATTCTCGGGCTCTTCGCTACAATAGGTGGGGGTTTGAACTCGAGAACGCCGTTCACTGAAATAGAGTTCAAGAAAGTGTTAATGGATTCTAAGCGAGTGGTTTTTGTTAGGATGCTCTCGACGATATCATCCAAGCAGATATTCCTTACTCAGCATAACACGCTGTGCTCCTTAATTGGTAGCATATTTGTTGTACTCTGCAAGATGTGTATAGGCGGAGATATAGAGATTTTCTGTCACATTCCACAGGACGACGTTCTGACAAAGGTTGTAACTTCTCCAATTGCTTCTCGCTAGCCCCCCAGCGAACAGAACGGCGCAATTTAGTTAACGACCGGCCCTCTAATGGCCTTATAAGTTGCGAGCAACCTTCCTTTGTCCTATGGGTTGGTGTGACGGAGTGCAGGCTAACAAATGTGACTTCCTGTAACTAGGGATTATTTATTGTCTGAATGTATAAACAACGACATTTACATCCAGTAGCCAAGGGTTTCGCTAGTTGTAATTGTAGTAGTCCCTGATACCTCTGACTTACTTTTAATAAAAACAATTGACGACGTTTGTAAATGTCGAGATGGTATTTTTTATTACAAAATTTGTAACCGTTCCACTCTCTTAAATCACATACTTACTTACCCTCTTTACTGACGTAGACACCGCTTACGCTATTATAGCCGATTTAAGAAGATGATTTGTTTTTTGATTTGTTTTTTCTTCTTGCTGTTTTGCGCCAATTGGAAATATCAAGTACAGCCAGGTTCTTATCTACCTGGTCTTTCCAATTCAGTGGAGACCTTTCCCTCTGCTTCCACCGGCGGGTACTGCAACTCGAAAACTCCTAACGCCGACTCATCAGATGTAGTCATCTTTATGCTTCCGCACCATATAGCAGTACGGAAACGATGAGGGACTTGGTTTTCGTTCGTCGAGAGAGGACTTTACTTTTCAATTGTCTACTCAGTCCAAAGTAGCACCTGTTGGCAAGTGTGATTCTGGATTTCAAGGCTGACATTTTTATTGTGTTAGATAGATAAACAAAATTATCTACGACTTCAAAGTTATGACTGTCAACAGTGACGAGGAGATATTTCGTCTTGCCCTCGCTCACCATAACCATAACTCACGGCGCGGTTGTTGAGGCCAATATTGTCAATATCACCGGCTTACGCCAACAGCTGTAAACTCTTATATAAGAGTGTATCTTCTCTATTCTGTTCGGCAGCTCGTATTGTTTTCTCCAGCAATAAGTCTTCAGACTTCGTTTGGCATCGAATGGCTCGGAGAGGTCCTTCCCGATCCTGTCGGAGCTTCCATTATTGCTTAACGTCAGTTTATACAGCCGTATAAGTTTTGCGGGGATACCAAATTCAGACGTAGCGGCATAAAGGCAGTTTCTGTTCTGTCAAAGGCGGCATTAAAATCGACGAAGAGATGGTGGGTGCTGATCCTCTTTTCATGAGACTTTTCCAAGATTAGGCGCATGGTGAATATCTTGCCAATGGTTGACTTACCAGGTCTGAAGCTACACTGATAAAGTCCAATAAGTTTGTTGACGGTGGTCTTGTCTTCCACAAAATACGCTCGACAGGACCTTATAGCTGATATTAAGGAGTCTTATCTCACGGTGATTGGCGCTGTGGGTTCCCCTTTTTTATGGATTGGGCAGAGCACACTTAAGTTCCAATGTTGTTGTTGTTGTTGTTGATGTTGTAGCGGTTGTTGTTGTTGTTGTAGCGGAATGGTCGTCTCAGCACTCTAATGGTCGTCTCAGCACTCTAATTTGAATGAGTTGTGTTCTGCATACTCTGATTGCATTACATTGGGGAATAAAGGTTGTTGTAGCGGTTCGCTAGCCCCGCTTAGGCACAGGTTTGATCAGTCTAAGTCGCCGATGGTAGGTCCAGGAAACGAGCTCTTTCGCCGGGGTTGGACCAAAGGGAGTGGGGGGTTAGATGAGTTGGTTTGAGAGGGCATGTGAAGAGGTGGTTAGTGTCGTGCGGAGACTCTCCACATGCAGGGTATACGTTGGGTATGCTTGGGTCTAGTCTGGATAAGTAGGAGTTTAACCTGCTACAATATCCAGACCTGAGTTGTGTCAGGGCCACGCGGGTCTCTCGAGGCAGCTTGAGCTCGTTTTCTGCTATAGATGGTGGTATTTCTCCGAGAACGCCATTCACTGGAAGGGACTGAAGGTGTTGACTGACTCCTGGTGAATGGCGTTCAGTGCTTGTCGGTACGCCGTCCTGTCCAGCGGTTGTTGCACATATTGCTGGATTGTGTCCTCTAGGTCTAGTACTCCTTTTCTGATGTGCCCAGGTGGAGGTTCAGCTTCTATTAGGTGCCTACTGGGGTGCTCCCTGCGGTAGCATCCCAATAGGAACTGCTTGCACAGCAAAGAATTATGCTCCTTAACTCGTAGTATAGATGCTTTCCTGTGCAAGTAATGCTCCGGCGACATCAGGAGGTTTCCTGTCGCGGTCCTGAGGACGGTGTTCTGGCAAGCCTGTAACTTCTTCCACTCAGGTAGCCCATGACCCACCTCTGCAACGCCGGCGCTAATGAGGATTCCTCAATGTCCGTTAGTAGCACTGAGTGATTGACTGTGTCAAAAGCTTTTGACAAGTCCAGTGCTACTAGGACAGTTCGCGCGCAGGTTCGGTTTTGGTTAAGGCCATGGACTATCTGGGTGTTTATGGCGTTAAAATCTGTTGTGGTGCTGTGCACTTTCCGGAAGCCGTGCTCATGCGCTGCTGGACGCTGATGGTGAGTGAAAGTCGGGAACAGTAAGGCCTCAAGTGTCTTCGCTACTGGGGAGAGGACAGTTATCAACCGATAAGACTCTCCTTTGTTGGCTGGTTTCCCCGGTTTAAGTAGCGGGACCACCCTACTTATTTTCCATACATCGGGTATCTTTAGGGTGGTCAGAGACAAATTGAGGACCCTCGTGAGAAATTCTGCTCCAGCTGGTCCAAGGTGTTTCAGCATCAGCATGCTTATTCCGTCGGGGCCGATGGATTTGGAGGCTTTCGCCTTCCTGATGACCACCTGAACCTCCTCCCTGGAGAAATCAAGCAACGTGCTGGTGTTTGGCAGTTTGCGCATACGGCGGGCTACACGTCGTTCCGCTTTGTCTACCGAGGGATGCAGTGTGAAAAGTCGGCTAAAATAGCTCGCGCATCCCTTCGGGTCCGACGAGGCGCGTTCACCGAATGAAATTTCCACCCGGTCACCGCGTCTCGTCGGGTTAGACAGCGATTTGACTGTAGCCCAGAGCTTGGTTGCCCCAGAGGAGAGGTTGCAGGTCCTTAGGTGCTCCGCCCACTTTTCTCGCTTGTGATTGTTTACTACTCTGCGAATCTCCGCGTTTAAATCCCTGATTAGGGGATTCTCGGGATAGGAGCTTCGGAGGGTGTAGCGCCTGGATGCTAATACCGCCGCTTCTGTCGGAAAATTTGTCAATCGAGATTTGTATGGGCAAGTGATCCGATGCTAATGTCAGTATAGGTCGCCAGACTATACTGTTTAACAGACCAGCACACGCAATTGTTATGTCTGGCGAGCTTTGGCAGTTACCCATAACTCTGGTGGGAGTGTTATCGTTCATTTTGCAGAATGTCGAATCGTCTATCTGTTCTGCCAGCTCCATTCCTCTACGGTCATTTGACAGGCTAGAATGCCAAAGATCGTGATGCGCGTTAAAGTCGTCCAAAACCAAACGGTTTTCGCCCCTGAGTAGCGCACCTATATCAGGGGTGTATCCTGCTGGGCAACTTATAACTGGAGGAATGTATACATTGAATATTTCGAGCTCGACATCTCCTGACCGGATAGCTATGCACTGACATTCTAGGGTAGTATAACTGCGGTCGATGTCGCCATCGATAAGACGATAGTGCACGGTGTTGTGCAGGATGAACGCTAAACCCCCACCGTGGTCTCGCTCGCGATCCTTGCGGAGTATGTTGTATCCGGCCCGGCTCAGAAGATCTGATCGGGCGGTCAACTTGGTTTCCTGGATCGCAGCTATTGACAGGTACTTCCGGCTCATAGTCGACTATCTCGTCAATCGTTCCCTGGAGTCCGTTACAGTTAAATTGTAAGAGTCGGGTCTGTTTCGGGGGAACGTTCGTGATACGTTGGTGTTGGTTGGCGCAGGGTTTGTCGAAACACGGGGCAACATACGCATTGCTTCACTCACGGGTGGTGCGCAGGCCAGAGCACGTCCGAAAGTGACACCAGCCATAGCAAAGATTGCATCTGACTGAGGTCGCGTTCCGACGCACTATGGTCTGACACACGGAACAGACAGTACGGGGGACCAGGAACTGCTGGGTAGCCCTCGCACAGGGAGGGGATGAGGAGCTGGTTGTGGGTAGGAATGTGGGTGGAGGTTGGAGGAAATCATGCTGCGGGGAGCTCCGTAAGACCGTGGAGGTCTGCTAGGTACCCAGAGTGGGTACAGGTGCTGAAGGCACTGCCATGGAGGCTGGGGGGGCGGTTGGACGCTGGCAGCATGGGGCCACATAACTCGTGTTCCATTCCCTGTGAGTCTTAAGGCCTGAGCAGGTCTTAAGATGACTCCAACCATTGCACTGGTTGCATCTAACCAAGGTGGAGGAATGGCGATGTCTTCTGTGACACACGCAGAAGAAATAGTCCGTCGGTCCAGGGTTGGTTTCTACACCAGCCCTGATCAGAAGGATTTGGAGCAACCCAGCTGCAAGGTGTTGCTCCATTGGCGAACTTAGACTAAAGTTACCTGTTAACTTAAAGGGGGTTAGGTCGCCGAAAAGGGTGACAGCCCTTGGCCGGATTAAATCCGGGTCAACTCCGGTGCGTAGAACCGGCTGTCGTAAGAGTTGCTTAAGTTCCAATCGTCGGGCATGCTTTTGTCCGACCATATTCTGCAAATTGTCAGCTCTTCACCGTCATGTTTGAAGAGTTCTGCCGGTAGGCTGTCAGCTTCCGCCACTTTGTTGTTTTTTAAGCGGGCGATTGCTATTCGAGCTACTTCATGGCATTGAGTTTTCGGGTTCACCATTTTTACTGCTATTCAGCAGGCTGGAAAAGTGTTCCTTCCTTAAATTTAATATACTCTGGGTATCGATGATGAGTGCTCTCTCGAACTTTCCTTGTGTTTGTTGACGTTCTTTGACACACGGAGGCACATGCGTATCTTCGCTGCAACAAGATTGATCCAATATCTTCAATCTGGTTCGGTGTTGCATCACAAATTATTATAATGTAATCCTTTTAGAATGTAATTAACTCTTATTGCCTTATTTTGACGCTTTATCACGTGCACAAAATACTTGAAAGATTCTTTTATAAATTCTAGTTCTTTATAATCATGTTTTTAATATGAACGTTTCACATAATTCATGGATCTGTTAAATATTAACCAATCGAATTGCCTTTCCTCAGGATTAAATTATTTTTAGTAGGATTATTTTTATGTACAAAGTAGATATATTATATATTTAGCAAACAATGGTTCTTAAATGTAGAAATCTGTATTTTGTAGTTTGATTCAAAGTCCTATATGACTCGATTGCAACTGTTCAATAGAAATTGATAGCTGTTCAAGGCGTTGAACTAGTTGCAACATATTTTCTTGTGCCTTTATTGAATTAAAATCGTTGACCCTATCCAGGGAGTCCTCTTCAGTAGCGGCTAATTCAAAATGCAATTTAGCTAAACTCTCTTGTTGTTCTCGAATTTTGGACATCTGCTCCATCGTGCATCCGGAGCCTGTAGAAAATCCAATTTGATTGGCAATTTGTTTCAACTGTGCGACTTACTCACCGAAGGCCTTCAACTTCCCCGAATGAAAATCGTCGAGAAGACCCAAAAGGGCTCTTTCCATGTGCTTCACGTCTGGTACTTCTGAGACAAATGAATGATGTTTAATTGGACGATTGTCAAAGTTGTCATGGTTCGCGCCACTGTAGCCATTAATGGTGTTAAATAGAGCAGAAGAATCGTTGCTGTTCTCTTTTTCTCGTAATAAACGCATTCTAATTTTATTATCATTTATGTTATTAGTTTCTCTGGCAATAATTTTATTTTCCATTATAAACGCATTATTACTACAACATAATTCGCTGCTGATTTGTGTAATGTTGTTTGTACTGTGATCACTATTGTACTTTTCGGCTTCTTTTTCATATAATAGTATTACAACGTACATATTTAGTGTTGCAAGTGAAATGTAGAACAAATCATTATGTGGTAAAATAAAGATTGTGTGAACAGCAAACAAAAAAAATAAATAAAATTAAGCAATGGATATAAAATTATATATTTTTTATACAAGAACATATATAAAATAATTATTAAAATAAAATGATATAAAACGATCACAAAAATTAACATAAATACTAATTAATTTTTACCAAGAAGATAAGCTGTTTTCGGCCATGTTCAAGCCTCTATTATTTGTTATATACGTGTATTGAATACTAAATTTTTTATTCAAAAGCTTTTATCAGAACAAATCGGTTATATGGGAGCTATATGATATAGTTCTTCGATTTCGATTATTAAAACAATTATTATAATTATTTTGCGTACAAACAGACGGACCGACGAACATGTCATTGATTCTCTATAAGCAAAAGAGAAATTTTCTCTAAGAATTGGAACGAGCAGCTTTCCACCTTGAAAAATTCTGAATAGTGGTATATTTTTTTTATGAATTCCATTATAAGCTTAATCAAAAGGATAAAATTTGGTTAACTTTAATTTTTAAATATCTTTTACACAAAACTAATTAAAATATGGTATGAATTGAGGCGAAAAGAAAGCTAAATCCTATCAAGAAAATATGCGTGTTAGTAAACATCCTTCAGAGTCCATAGCACACCAGCATTTGGCACGAAACAGTGGCTGCAAATAGATCGGCATGCAAATTTTGAATTTGTAATATTTACCCTTAAGTGTTTTGCGTTGTGATTTAAAAGCGATCCGGTCGTCAGAGCTGCATCCACCTGCGCTAATATTCCCATTCAAATTTGGTCGAGAACGCCGTTCATTTATATAGGTAACTTTTGCAGAAGTTAACTGTCCCTTCTCCGATGTGCGTTCTATCGAGCAACTGGCCGAGTTTCTACTGTGGGTCGTTTCCCCACTCGACATATTTTTTATCTACGGAAATTAAGATTATAAACTGGTTTTTACTAAGTTTTTCTGTATTACAATCATTTTTGGAACAGCGGGGGATGTTAGATTAGTTGCAGATTTAACAGCTTGTGATATATTCGAAGGGTTATTAATCTCCTCTTCGCCTTCCAAATCATTTGGTACAAGTTTTTGTCGTTCTACAACTTCGTCATTTGTCTCCATATTTATAAATCAAATAAAAAAATCTAGGAAAAATTAGCTTAAATGATAAGATTTGTAACCAATGCGTCAAACTATTGAAGGCTCTACGATTGTATCGATAAGTTTTATTAGCTCTTATACAGCCTTTCCACAGCACCGTGAATTACATTGTTCGTCCTCTCAATTACGAATGCGATTTATCCCATTCAGTTTTGTGGAATCCGAAAAAAATTGTCATAAAATCGAAGTATAAGCTGAACAATATAGTTTCGTTAATAATTTCTATTTTTTTTTCTCCCTCAAAAAACAAATGGTGTTTCGTGTTAATCTCGATAAGAATTAAATTTCGATAGGAATTAGATAAGAAACTCTTTGGTCGTAGTTCGCATGACAATTGAGAACGAATTGCTCACTTTTACTATAATTCGCTCACGAAAATGTGTATGGTGAATTAAATAATTAGGAATTAGTATTTGGACTGCGAATTACGATTGAGGGCGGGAAACACGTAATTAGGCTGTCATGGAAATGCCGTATTATTACAATATGTTTCAATTACAAAAAGATGCCATTAAACCATCATAATTGGCACGTTCAAATTCATTGACATCTTTCGTATATGTGATTTTTTAAAATACAACTATAATACAAAAAACGTAGCCACAAAAAACTTAATAAAAAATCAACAGTATTACATTAAACGATTTTTTGACTTTTTATAAAAAATAAAGAAAAGTGAAAGAGAAAGTAAAATTTAATGGAAATAAAATAAATTTCAGGCGGCTTAGCATTTTTTATGAGAAATATATTGTGGCACAAAAGCTAAAATTAAATAAAATAATGAAGCAAATTGACAGCAAAGTCAATAAATTGGAGCAATAAGACCTTTGCCTGAGAGTTCGATAAACTGGCTCAATTTGTTTATGGGAACACCTTTAGAGAACATCTAGAAAGGGTTAAAATCCAGCTGGGTGAAAGACATGTACACCAAAAGTATATGATTTGAAAACCAACATTTTTGAGACTATCTCGCATGCTAAAACCATAAAACGGTCGCAATGGAAAGTACATGAGAAGTTGGGCTAGAGCAAAAGTTTGAAAGATCAATGCAAGAAATGCTAAAATTGTAAAAAATCAGAATGCTTCTCCCGCGACTCTGGAGCGGACCCTACCAGACAAGAATGAAGGCGGAAACATAAGCCTTAAGAAGAATGCCTCTAAGTTGATTGGTCACTGAGGGTGTAACCTAAAGCCATGCCAGAAAATTTAGGTTTTAAAAGTATCGTTCGAAATCTTCATCGAAAATATGACATTGATACGTTTCTTCATAATGCGGAAAATTGGATATCCTTTAGCTTTGAATAAAAGCTAATGATGAATTCCTGGGTAGTCCTACTAACCATTTGCAGAGAACGTTAAATAACGTTAGTATAGTTAATAGTTATTATACGATCTATGCCAATTGTTTGTTTTAGTCTTAATCGCTGCGTTAAAATTACAAAGCATCCCCGCAAGAAGGTTTCCGATCATTTGAGCCAACATATGTCAGCTCGTAGAACGATTTTCCTTTCACTTTCTTTAGGCCGAAATGACAAACGTGATGATTTCATTTGTATAAGTGTACGTTATTCTCGCTTCGTTTCCTTGAGCATTATCGCCATTACTGTCGGACATACAACAGCTTTGATACAAAACTAAAACAATATTGACGTAAAAAAACGCAGCAGTGTCATACAAGCCAAACACAGATGAGCGACAGCATTGATGTCGAAGGAAATCAGCTTTGACAAAAATTTTCTCTACATATGTACATACATACAAATATTATTAAGATTCGTTCTTAATTTCTATATTTTACATAATACATGTACATGTTTACGTAGTATACAAAAGAAATAACAATACAACAATAAAATCGTCTTCAAAAAACAGAAAAATTTTATAAGCAAAACCGCAAATACAGAAGTGTTTGGTAGTGACGCAGCTCTCAGTTTCACTAACTTCTACTTCAAATCTGCGATTATGCTCCTTTGAAGTATAAAGACATCTAAGTAAGAAAAAAAATAATGTGTCAAATAAAATGTAAAAGAAAATCGGATAATCCGATCAACTGCATTCTTCTTCAATTTGTATGTACTCATAAGAGAAAGATAAACAAAAAATGTGCATATGTGTTAGTGCTGCCCAAAATCGTGTGAGTTTATTGGTGAACCCATCAGCCCGTTCTTGCAGGGATCACTTTGCATATAAAAACGTGGCAACTTTGCAAAATTCTAGCACTCGAGCAACTGTCTTTTGACTACAATCGATGGAGCAAATAAGGAGGCAGCGGCTAGTCATATATATGTATATATAATTGGGGCATTATAATTGCTGAACCGATTTTCGGCCGAGCTCCTCTTAAAATTTGTTGTTTTCCGTTTTGATGTGTTTTCAACAAATGGGGGTATCTACAGTTTATATTAAACCGCCTCCCAATGGCTGATGGTTTTTTTATAAGGACCCTCAATTTCATATCAGAAATACACTCGGAGGGGTTGACAATCCTTGCCGAGGAGCGACCGAAATTAGAAAATTTATATATACATACATATATATGTACATATAATAAAATAATGAAATGCTTGTTGTTTTCCTTGTTAAAACTCGAGAATGAGAAGGTTCAAATGGTTAGAAACATTCGGGAAGTGAATCAGGGACAGTGATTTCATTTCCCACAGGATCAAGTAAAAATAAATAATACTTTATTTCCGGGGAAAATGGGTCTGATATATAAATGTGCAGAAAAACGCGTAGCTAGATAAATAATAATATAGGATATTTAATATTTTACATTATTACTTATTAGATGCCTAAATAAGACCTTCGTTATTCTTTACAAGGTGATACTTTAGAATACCAATTACAAAATAACGTGTGCCCGGGTTCTTTAGTTATTGATTTTATATGTCATTTATTAATAATCTTTTAATCATTCGTGGTTAACTGAACTTATTACAACAAATTAAGACGATTTCTTCTTAAAACCCAAGGTATAAATCATTTCCAACATGCTAACGATTCCCAAACCACAAAGTCCTACGGTCAAACCAAATAACACTTTGTCTGCTGGACCTCCTTTTAAAAAAACTGGAACATTATTGTGAGCCTGAAAAATTATAAGAAAGTTATTTCTTTGTTCAAATGATAAATATAAAAACATACTTGAAATTTCTTCATGCTATTTGCAAGTCCATCTGGTAAAGCCATTATCTCAACAACAGTGATTACGTAAGCACTCCTAGAAACATACGTATATTTAAAATTTAAAAACAACTCGAACTATTAAATCAAGTGTGTATATAGTTTATATAATTTTTTACTATTTTTTTATTGAAATTTCAAAGACGCACCGAAAAAATATTAACAGATATAATTCAGATTGTCCCGAAATGTGTTGCACACACCTCAATTAAGTTCTTAAAATATAAAAATAGAATTCACTAAATGTACATGCCTGCTATATACATATGTCAACGTTACATATGTATCTTATTCGTAAATTCGATTTACACTAGCAGCAGTACAAAGGAACAAGGTACAAAAATGTTGAAGACGACATTGCGATATCTGAATCAATTAAATCAAATAGTGCTTACGACTATACATTTCGAGAAGCTCAATTTTTATATCGCAGGCGGATGGTATTGTCATCAGCAATGGCATTTCAAATTAAAACAGGAATCAAATTACGGAAGATGACGAAGATTCAGAAGTGTCTGATAGTGATAGCAACCAATCGAATCACGAGCAAGGTATTCAACAACCGAAAGTGAGGAGCATGGAAACAATAAAGATGCAAATCACGTCATCGAACATGCACACAAAAATGGTACAGAACTAAATTTATGATAAAAACCAAAGCCATTAGATTCTTAAGCATCATATTTATTGTTGTATTATTTTCTATTTTGAAAACCGCTTGGAAATGAAAATTATTCGAAAAAGTAAATTACCCTTGGGACATTTCGGTCAACTTTTTCGAGACTCTACTGTACAATCTGTTAACTTTCATTAAACAGTTAGCTTTGTTTTTACTTGCATGAGAAATGAACGATATATTAGAAAACTATCGCGATTTAAAGAGGGAAGCAAGACGCATGTGCAGACGAAAACAGAAAGTGGGACAAGGGCAATGCTCAAAAGTAATATGAAAAGAAACGGCGGCTTACAAAAGCTATTAAGACCGGAGCTGTCTCTTGTAGGTCACATAGCGATCTAGTAACCGTTGCCCAGAGTATACTGAACTTATGGAGGGAACACTTCTCCAGCCTGCTGAATGGCAGTGAAAATGTAAAATCCGGAGATGTTGATCCCGGAACCCCAATCGATGACGAGGAAAAAGATAAGGAAGCGAAGGATATGGGTCTGGTAGTGTAGAAGATAAAGGTTTTTCATAAAATTTGGTGTCAGGGGGAATACCACATTAGGCTACATGAAAAGAGAAAGTTTAAAATAAGATCACGTATCCTGGGGGCATTCCCAATTATTATTTAATATAACAGATTTTAATATTTTTGAAAGAAAAATAGTTGGACAGGTGGATATTCATTGTCATAAGATTGGCGTTTTCCGTTGGGAATCTCATGCAAATCAAAGAAGTTTTATGTATCATTATAATTGAGCAAGTAATGTGTAAACAAAGATCAGCTAATCAGTTTGCTATCGTACTATATATTTCCTATGCTGTAGTAATTTCACCTTAGTAGATTTGCCTCGCCTTATAACAAAATTATTTCTGTTTATGTTTAAAATTATCGGCGTTATTTTAAAAATACGCAGCGCATTTAAATAGATCTATCAAAGAGTACGTTCTCTGCTCATGCGAATTCGCCTTGGCTGATACCATCCATTGTATATATGTATGTTAAAATTCGCCTTGGTATTGAATTAGTTGATTCATTTGTTGTTTCCAGTTGTGTATTACTTTTTCGTTTGTGTGGTTTGTTTAATTTTTGTTTCAGCTTCGCGTTAAGCGCTTAAAGTAATATACATAAATATTCGGAGAGTTTTGGTTCATTAAAGTAGCTATTGTGGTTTGTTTTCAGTTGTATCAAAAAAAAAAGGCCTCTAATACCATTAGCCATTGGATTAAGAAAAACAGTTGACCAGTCTATAAATGTACATACAAACGTACATATGAATATAATACAAATTACTCATACACCAGATATTTGCAGGAAATATTCGCATTGATATAATTACATACATATATTAGCAAGAGTATACATCAGTCAAAATAGTCTTGTATTGAATTTTTTTTTAAATGTTTCAAGCGCGATTTTTCGTCATTTTTCCGCTACGAAACATATGGACATACATATGTATTTCTTGCGCTTTATATGTCACCAAATTAATCGCAACATCATGTCAATGAAATTTTATATACATACAAACATACTCTCTGTCACTCCTAATAGTTATATATATATATGTGCATATAATCATAGGTGCAATCATGCATATTTGGATACTCGAAAAGAAAAATAAATGAAAGATTTTTTTTTATTCCTACTAAGAAATTAAATGAATATTGAACGAACAAAGTCTAAAAAAAGAAGTTGTTTTATATGCTTATTAAAACAATTTTAGATAATTTTTAATATTTATATGAAAGTTGAAAAATACTTAAATGTATGAAAATTGGTCCAGCCTTTTTGTTATGTGTACTTTTAGTTACTTTCGCGTTTGCTGATTTATGTCTTTTCTGAATGAATAATTTAATGTTTTTTATATAATTTTATTATTGTTTCCCTAAAGTCATAACAACCACTTTGATAGTCCCTAAAACGAATCAGTGGATCTACCAAGAAATTATTCTTAAAATTTATGTGATACTTAATTGCAATTCGAAAAAACACTTCTAAAATGGCAATGCAGCAACGAGAAGTTGGAGTCAGGGATTTCGTGCTCCTAGAACAAATAACAATGGACAAATTTATGGAAAATTTGAAAAAAAGGTAAGTCTGTTTTTTTTTTTATATAGGAAACAATCTGGTACGTCTTTTTTAATCTGAGTTAATATAAATTAATTTTTAAAAAAAGTTTAGTCGGTATGTGCTAGTTCCAAGTAGGGTATTTCATAAATTTTAATCTGTTAAAGACAGTTTCTCTCCAGGGATGAAAAAGGAATGTTCTAAAATTATCGCATGTTTCAAAAAAAAAAAAAAAAATTGTAAATTGAAAAAGAATGTACACAAAAAATGTTTTAAAAATAGAATTTATTAATGTATGACCGTACATATGTACATATGTAAGGCCCTGTTTTCGCATACAAATAAATACTGTAGGTACATGTCACATAAAAATTGTCAGTAGATACCGGTTACTACTCACTGGATTCTAGGAATTTCTTTTTCACATCTTGGTCCAACTTCTCTTTTTCGATTACAGCCGTAAAAACAATAGCGCATCATTAGTTTGTTATTTTAGATACATATACATATACTTCTCACGTAACCGATTGTTTTTAACTATCAAACTAATTAGTAATCAGAAATACCTATGTATATACTCATACGAATAAAACTAAATTAGTCTCGGCCGAAGACAGTGTTTCCTTGTTGTTTTCTTTTAGTGTCTTTATATGGGAATAAGTTCTTTTACAGTTTGTTAACACGCTACTTCATAATCACAATAAATAACTTAAGAAGAAAACAAAGCACATATTTATGTATATAGAGAAACATCAAAGTTCATTTCTCTGATCAATAGTATAAACATTACTACTTCCCTTCGTTCCCTGTTGTTTTGTTTTTAAGTAACCAAAGAAACGCTTTCGTCGGTACTCGACATACTAATAAACCATCGAGGGCCATGTGCAATTAATTTATCACGGTTTACACATCCTAATGAATAGAATTAGGCAGGAAAATGCAAGCACCTTTTTTATCCAGCGTTACGTTTTTTTACTGTTGTGTAAGGTATTTAATGGTCTGAGAAAGCATAAGAGAAGGTGGATTTTAACGCTAGGTTTGTTGGAAAAGTTAGATTTATTTAAGCAATATGTTATATATTGGAGTTTAGAGTCGAATATTTAAATTATGAAATTTGCTGACTAAAATTAGAAATTTCTTTAAAAGCATCTATGTACACTGGCAGCTGGCACCGTTTCACCGCTACAAGCTACAGGCATGAGTTTGAGTGCAGTTCTGTTAGATTGACAGTGAAAAGATAATGTGCACTTTAACTTTATGTCCATCATATTCAGTTTAGCGCCATGATCTAGTAAGAACCTATATTTATAATTATTTAAACATTGTATTATTATTAACATTGCATACAATATTATGTGTTTAAATACACACAAAATTAGACTACTTCCGAGGTTTGCTTTTGAGCATTTGTGGACTGTCACACATTGTGGAAAACCATTTAATATTGATATAACCTATAGTCTATATTGGCTGCTGAAGCAAATGTGCGAGAATGGCAACGAAGGGCAAATATCCGCATCGTTTGGCAAGGTCTCCTGCTCCTGCAATCCAAACTTCTTCGCAGGCAACCGCCTTCGCGAGGGGACAATTTGCGCTATGACTTAGGGCCACCTCCTGTCGTGTTTTCTGGCCATCAAGTTTTGACCCGCATGAATTTCTTTTGATCAGGCTACACCTAAAAGTAAAATGCTTAAAAATTCGCCTTTTACTAGAAAAGAAGTTTTACCTTCTCCCAAAATTGGTTGAACTCCTCCTTATTGCCCTTAAGGATTCCTCGACCTATAGCCGGATGAGTTTCAATTGTGAAAAGATATACTTACATTTATAAAAACTCCCACACAACTTCTATGTGAAAAAATATTCCGCATTTTTTTTGCATGAGTACTGCCAACTTTTTCCACTGGGAATTTTTCTCCATATTCGAGGTTTACTTAGAATACGAGAAAAGGGAAAAGATAAAAAATCTGCTAATTTGTTTTATATAAGATAGCAGAATTGGAAAAAGTGAGAAATCTCCCGCGGAATTTTCATTTAGAATAGGACTAAATACATCAAAATTACATATGTACGTAAAAAGCTCTTACTTCTAGTATAATACCACTTGATTTTGATGTAGTTGGACCCGTTTTCACATTAGCATCGAAATAAAATTTGTTTTGATGAACATATCAAATTTATTTTATTGCTTTCGATGATTTCGGTGTTATTATTTATTTGAATTTCAGTGTGTAGAATATTGGATTTCACCTGTTGGCAAGAGTGATTCTGCGTTGGATTTCAAGACTGACATTATTGTTGATGTTGATGCTGGTTCCTAGGTAGACGAAATTATCTACGACATCAAAATTATGACTGTCAACAGTGACGTAGGAGCCAAGTCGCCAATGCGATGACTGTTTGTTTGATGACAGGATATATTTCGTCTTGTCCTCGTTCACTACCAGACCCATTCGCCTTGCTTCTTTATCAAGCCTGAAGAAAACAGAACTAATGGCGCGGATAATGTCAATATCATCGGCGTACGCCACTAGTTTTACACTCTTAAAGAAGATTGTACCTTCTCTATTCAGCTCTGCAGCTCTTATTATTCTCTCCAACACCAAATTGAAGAAATCACAAGACAAAGAGTCACCCTGTCTGAAACCTCGTTTGGTACCGAACGGCTCGGAGAGGTCCTTCCCAATTCTGACTGCGCTTCTGGTGTTGTCTAGCGTCAGCTTACACAGCCGTATAAGTCTTGCGGGGATTCTAAATTCAGACATAGCGGCGTAAAGGCAGCTCCTTTTCGTGCTGTCGAAGGCGGCTTTAAAATCGACGAAGAGATGGTGGGTGTCGATCCTCTTTTCACGGGTCTTTTCCAAGATTTGTCGCATGTTGAATATCTGGTCAATGGTTGACTTACCAGGTCTGAAGCCACACTGATAAGTTCCAATAAGTTTGTTGACGGTGAGCTTCAGTCTTTCACACAATACGCTCGACAGGACCTTGTAGGCGATATTAGGGAGGCTTATCCCACGGTAATTGGCGCAGACTGTGGGGTCACCTTTTTTATGGATTGGGCAGAGTGCACTTAAATTCCAATCGTCGGACATGCTTTTGTCCGACCATATTGTGGAAAGAAGCTGATACATGCACCTTGTCAGCTCTTCACCGTCATGTTTGAATAGTTCTGCCGGTAGGCCGTCAGTTCCGGCCGCTTTGTTGTTTTTAAACGGGCGATTACTATTCGAACTTCTTCATGGTCAGGTTCTTCCATCATCATCGATTGGGGCTTCGGGCTCACCATCTCCGGATTCTCCATTTTCCCTACTATTCAGCAGGTTGGAGAAGTGTTCCCTCCATAAATTCAATATACTCTGGGCATCGGTGGCTAGACCACCTCTTTGTGTCGTACAAGAGTCTGCTTCGGTCTTGAAACCTTCTGTAAGTCGTCGTATCTTCTCGTGGAATTTTCGAGCATTACCCTTGTCGGCCAGCTTCTCAAGCTCTTCATACTCACGCATCTCGGCCTTTTTTTTCTGCACATGCGTCTTTCATCCAACTTCATCTCTCGGTGTCTATCCCATCCCGCACGTGTTGTGGCCGACCGCAAGGTTGCGAGGTAGGCAGTCTGTTTTCTCTCCACTGCGACACGGCAGTCCTCATGTCTTCCGTCTATCACAACATGATCGAGCTGGTTTTGTGCTTCGATCAGTGTACAGCAAAGGAGCTTGATTTATATTTTTGTGCTGGAATCGTACTTCATACGCATCTACATAATTTAAGTTTCCAACAATCTACTCGTGTAGTTTAATCTTATTCAGTTGTCTTGTTTATCTTTCTCTTCTGAGTACATACAAATTCTTTATTTTATGCAGAAACGGTTAATGGTAAAAGTTAGAATTAAAGAATGTTGTTAAGTCATAGCAAAAATCCCTTTTGAAATGAAGGCAATATGGATAATGTCCCGAGCACACTCAAGCTTTGGTAATAATAAATTATCAAATAAATGATGATAATGGTTAATAAGCGTTTTTAATCGTTTTTCGCAATACCTATAAGAATAAAAATTAGACTTGGAACGACAAAATGCGCAAAAGTGCGGTGTTATTTCGGCCTTAAGAAACTGATGAAAATAGGTTAGGTTTGACATTTTAAGCAATGTTCGACTAAACTTCTCCAGTCCTCGAAAGCTTCCTCTTTATGAAATTGCTCCTTTACTTTTTTTATTAAATTTCTCTAGAAATACAAGTGAAATATGTGTATATACATATATGCTAAAAATTAAATTTGGAATCACTTGCCAAATGGTGCTACTTTTGATCTTAAATAAAGTGCTTTCTCAAAGAACAAATTTGGTTTATCATTTATATATATGTAAAAGAGCCCAACGAACAGATCTTAAACTATACAAGTCTAACATCATTACCATCCTATATTGCGCTGCAGAAGCATGGACGATGAGTTGACAACGTTAGCTGGGTGATGTCGTCCGGATAGGTGATACCACTGCAGTTTAGAAGGCATTCAATGTAGAATTCACTGGTTGACATATAGGGGAGACTCTCTACCACCTTTGGACGATCAGATGAAAAGAGGCGGGTAGTTGTGGTAATGAACACTTAACAAGGAAGAACACATACGTATAAGAAAGAATATTTAAGCTCCTATAATTATTTTAAAAAATTTAAAGAAAAATTGTATGCTTTGCTTACTAAATAATCTATAGAATCATTTATATATATCTTATCGTAAATTCCTGAATGCTACTGATAACTTACGAAATGTTCCATTGATATTATGTTTTTGTATTCTACATGACTAGCCATGAGCGATTACTCATAAATTATAAGATTACGTCAGCACCTTGAATTTACGAACAAAATAATTTGTATTGAGACGTATGTACAATATATTAATACAAATATGCAGTGAATTTTTGATTATTACAAATTACAGATTATGTTTTTAAAATTAAAAATGATTTAAATTTTTAATTCAGTTGGAAAATTAGTTGTAAAAATTTTGTTTCAAATGTTTTTTATTTAAGATTATTTTAAGTTAAGCATTCTAATATGGTACCAACGTTGGTTCTTTGTTATTTTATATTCTACCCATTGATGTTGATAAGTATTTACATTTTCATTGAAAAAATTTTCTTAGCACGCGCACTCATGCTCCGTATATGTACAATACATACGTTGTTATAAAGCAACTTTCTTGTTTTCACATGCGTAGGGTAAAAGTTGACATTTTTTGCAAATTCAACTTTAAATATTTCAAAAACTATAGTACCAACCGGAGGTTTTGTTTCCGGTTTTACCGAAATTCATAAAGTTGCAATTTAAATTTAGTTTTTCTTTTTTTGATTATTTGAATTTAGAAACTACTGCCCATTTTTTTGAAAAGTTTGTTTTAGGTAATTGATTCGTATTGTAGGTCAAAGTGAAAAATTTTGTGGAAATTAGTTTATTTCACAATAATTTATTAAAACCATTCTTTGACAATACTCAAATTCTTTGACGGCATTTTCAAGAGAAGGAATTGCTGGGGCATCGCGGCCAGTCGGAATTTTTAATTCAGAATGAGATCAGTCACATATTGCAAATAAAAGTAGAGCTGGGTTTATGTGTCGTCGAATATTAATATCGCAAAAAAAGCAAATGTATTATATTTCAGTACAGTAATTTAACATTCACATTTTACAACTTTTTAGATTTCACAGTGGATCGATTTATACCTACATTGGCGAAGTTTGTGTATCGATGAATCCTTATCGGCAAATAAATATTTATGGTCCTGAAACGATAAAAATATATAAAGGCCGCGAGCTATTCGAGAACCCTCCACACATATATGCCATAGCTGATGCAGCATACAAAATATTGAAACAACGTCATCAAGATACCTGCATCCTGATCTCAGGGGAATCCGGAGCGGGCAAAACTGAGGCTTCTAAAATTATTATGAAGTATATCGCGGCTATAACCAATGTACATGGTCAGAACGAAATTGAAAGGTAAATACCTTATAAATAATGCCTTGCATATATAGTGCCCAAATAATCAAATTCTGAAAAAATTAGGGTAAAAAATGTTCTAATACAAAGTAATTCCATCCTTGAAACATTCGGAAATGCAAAAACGAATCGAAATGACAATTCAAGTCGATTTGGGAAATATATGGATATTGAGTTTGACTATAAAGGGGATCCTGTGGGGGGCATAATTACAAATTATTTGCTGGAGAAATCACGTGTGGTGCAACAACAGTCAGGAGAAAGAAACTTTCACTGTTTCTATCAGGTAAGAGCGTGACTTTTTCAAAAATGTTTCTTGTAAAAAGCAAGCGATATACTAATTGTAATTATAATCTTCATTACAGCTTCTGCGAGGTGCTAGCGATATGGAGCTGCACCGATATGATCTAATAAAAGATACTAGTAGGTATCACTATATGAACCAGGGTAGTATGGACGCACTTTCCGAAAAATCGGATTACAAAAGCACAAATATTGCTTTTAAAACGCTGGGGTTTACGAATGAAGAGGTGCAAACTATTTGGAGTACTATTGCTGCTATTTTACATTTAGGCAATATCGAATTTCAATGTATGAGCTTAGTGCACCTATACATAAATGAAACCATAGATGGAGTAATTATTTTTCATATTTATAGCTAATGAAGATGATCTGACAATTAGCAACAAAACACATTTGCAATCTGCTTCAAATTTGTTGCAAGTAACCGAGAATGAACTTTCTAACTCTCTAACAAAGCGAACTATTGCAGCTGGTGGTAATGTTATGCTTAAAGAACATGATGCCACGCAAGCGGAATATGGAAAGGATGCTTTGGCTAAAGCGATTTACGACCGACTTTTTACTTGGGTTATATCTCGCATAAATCGTGCAATTTTATTCCGAGGCACAAAAAATCAAGCACGTTTTAACTCAGTTATTGGCGTTCTTGACATTTACGGGTTTGAGATTTTCGATAGCAACAGTTTTGAACAATTTTGCATAAATTATTGTAATGAAAAATTACAACAGCTCTTTATTGGTATGCTTTGTAAGTCTTATAATTTATGGCATTATATTTCTATACTTATTTTACAGAACTGGTACTTAAACAAGAGCAAGAGGAATATCAAAGAGAAGGAATAGAGTGGACCAATATTGAGTATTTTAATAACAAGGTAACTCGAATAGCAATGTGTCCTACATTATTTGTTTTGTGGATATCTCAAAAGCACAGGGATGGAAATACGCACACTTATCAGACTATCAAAAATCTGATCTGAATCATAAGTAGATGAATTTCGATGCAAGCGAAACCACTTTAGCCTTTCACTTTCCTGACCACTTAAGAATTGAATTCCTACATATATGCATGGGCGTAAACACAAAGTACATTTAAACGTACATATATGCCAGAATACAAAAATACATAAAACAAAACAATAAGCCAGTGCCTAAAGTTGTTAAAGGATTTACGAACCTAGCGCAAACATTTTGCATAGATTTTCAAATTTATATGGTTGACTGTGAATAGAACATGAGCGTTTCTGAATTGTGCCATGTTTACTGCTTTTTATGAACCCAAAAGCACGTCTACGACTTTTTGGGTTTTAGGAATAGTAATGAAAGAAAACTGACATGTTTGTTTTATTTAACAAATAGTGAAGCATTTATTAGGTTAAGGTTTTTGTATTATAATGTAAGTTGCAGAAGCAGATATTCATTAACACCATTCAATTATTTCCATATTATTATAATTATATACAAGAAATGTTTAGAAGATATTTTATAAGTATTTTTATATTTAGATAATCTGCGATCTCATTGAGCAACCACATAAGGGCATGATAGCAATTATGGATGAGGCTTGCCTCTCAGTGGGTAAAGTCAACGACGAAACCTTGTTAGGTGCCATGGATAAAAATCTTAGTACACACCCCCATTACAGCAGTAGGCAGCTGAAGCCCATCGATAAAGAGCTGCAGCACCGTGTAGACTTCAGAATAACGCACTATGCTGGTGATGTTATTTACAATATAAATGGATTTATTGAAAAAAATAAGGATACGCTTTATCAGGATTTCAAACGCCTATTACATCATTCCAAAAATGTCAACTTGAGTGAAATGTGGCCAGAAGGTGCTCAAGATATTAAGAAAACCACCAAGCGACCTCTCACTGCTGGAACTCTTTTTCAACGCTCTATGATAGATCTCGTAAATACTCTTTTGAAGAAGGAACCATTTTATGTTCGCTGCATTAAACCAAACGATATAAAGAGTGCCACGGTATTCGACGACGATCGTGTGCAACATCAAGTTCGCTATCTCGGATTACTGGAGAATGTCAGAGTTCGTCGCGCTGGTTTTGTACATCGTCAACGTTACGACAAATTTTTATTGCGTTACAAAATGATTTCTCAGTACACTTGGCCGAATTTTCATGCCGGAAGTGATAAGGATGGCGTTCGAGTGTTAATTGAAGAAAAAGGTTTTGGGAATGATGTGAAATATGGACATACTAAGGTGTTCATACGGTCCCCTAATACTTTATTCACACTAGAGCAACAACGTAACGAAATGATTCCTCATATTGTTACCTTGCTGCAAAAACAAGTCCGAGGTTGGATTGCTCGATGTAATTATAAAAAAATGTTGGCCGCACTCGCTATAATGCGTGCTTACAAAACATACAAATTGCGATTTTATGTTCACGATCTAGCACAACGTTTCCGCAATGCAAAAAATATGAGAGACTATGGTCGAAGCATCCTGTGGCCGCAACCCCCATTGGCTGGGCGAAAAGCAGAACCTCAATTGAAACGAATTTTTGATAATTGGCGAGCTTTTATGATACTACGCAAATATCCGCGGTCTGAATGGCAACAACTGCGTTTACAAATAATAGCCGCGTCTGCAATGAAAGGTCGTCGCAAGCATTGGGGCCAGCAACGCAAATGGATTGGTGATTACCTATCGAATTCTCAAGAAAATACATGTTATCAAGCTTACACCAACAATATCAGAAATTTGAAGAATGTTCAAGCTAATAATACTGTATTATTTTCATCATTTGCCAAGAAATATAACAAACACAATAAATCCGCTGATCGTGCTTTCATTGTGACAGATAGTGGAATATACAAATTGGATGGTGCCAAACACAAATTTAAAAATATGAATCGTTCTATTTGTATTAAAGATGTAAGTTAACATCCCATCCAAAAAGTAAGGTAAAAGTTAAAGGTCTATTACAAGTAAGGCATCTTACAATTTCGTTACGTCCTAATTTTTACTGATATTTCTTAACGAACACAGCAAAAAAACCAAAAAAAAAGCAGTAACAAGATCGCAATTTGTTACAACGGCCACAAAGAAAATGAAATATTGGTCGAGTTTAAAAGGGAAAGCGCTTGCTTGGAATTTATTTAAACAGAACCGCAGAAACTCTATACCAATGTTTACATGAAAAAATAATTCCGAACTCATTTACATATTTTTATCATTCTTTCTGAAATTCTAAAATCTAATTTGTTGCAAAGCATCCTTTCAAAGGTCTATTATACAAAAAATATTGCTATCTTTATCCTTTGGGGGCTGAAATACAATTTTGAATACAAACTCCGTTTAATTGTCAAATTTTATTAAAATATTTAGGAAAATACATACTTAAAAGCAGAAGAAATAAACTGTATAATTGAAGGGATTTAAAATTAACCGCAAAAATAAACAGCTTTTGTACTACTTACTGCTTAATTTTAATTGTTTCCTATTCATGGAAAACTCAGTAAATTTCTTTCTTCGGGAGAGTAAGACATCTTACTCACTCAATTTCATTTCTGGCGAATTCTTACTGATATTTCTCACCGAACAGAGCTAATTTCACTGCTATTATATTGTGAGGCAGGCTCGATGGGTTCTACCTACATAAAACTACTTAGATTTTTATATTAGATTTTACGAAAAACCCTAAAATTACACGATTTAATTGAATTAAGAATACTATTAAAATATTAATATATTTAACGTGTGATATTTGTATTTCTAAATATATCTGACATTTATCTTAATTTTTAGCTTACATCAATAAGCATAAGTCCTGGACTTGATCAACTTGTAATATTCCACTCCTCTGATAATAATGATTTAGTCTTTGCTCTACAAGGGGAAAATTCTCAGTTAAAAGAGGATCATATCGGCGAGCTTGTGGGAGTTATTTGTAAAAAATATTTTGAGTAAGTATCACTTTTAATCTTCCTTCATTGAGATTTATTGTTAAGATTCTAATTTCTCTACAGCATTTGTCAGCGAGACCTCCGCGTGGACGTGAATTCTACAATCGTATGCCGTTTGGGTGGGAAATCTCGAACCATTATTATTCAAGGTGAACCAGGCGTTGAAAATCCTAATTTTCGACATACAGCTGGTAATATTATTTTTGAAGTTCCTCCATTCTACTGCGTCTAAAAGCTGAAAATTATTTCGGAATCAACGCATTAATATTCTTTTATAAGCCAATTCTGGGCTCTGAGTTTTGTTTTAATCTTAATGGCCGTATTTGATGTGTTGATTGTTAGTTTACATTATGAAACATATTACTGCATTCATATAATTCTGAATATGTATTTAGCAATGCAATTGTACAGGTATGTACAAAAATTTTAATTTTTCAAAAAAAAGGTTTAGTTATTAAGTATTAACCGACCAAGGTGTTAAACATTCAAAAACGCATATATAACATGACTTGGAGATAATTCTTATCCCATTTTGAAGGTTCAACATTGTAATGTTCATTGATTATTGGGACACTTAAAATGTGTTTTCGAATGCAAAGATTGCACTAAAAAATATAATCCACTTTGTTGTAGTTTTTTTAGTGGTGCATTCATAATTTCAATAACTTCACATGTGCACAAAAAATATACACAAACTGTGGGATTCAATACGCAGTCTTAAGCCTCAAACAGATTATTTTGTCTTAAAAATATCTAATTTAGGCTAGTTGGTCTTCATAAGCAGTGTCTAGTCCACAACAATACAATAAAAAAATTGTTTCTTTTTAACTTTTTCTTCACTTTTGTGCTACAAATTTCATTTATTAAAAACAATTTCAAATTTTCCAAAAAATAATGTACAATATTATAAAATATGAAAACAAGTAGAAAATTCAAATGCTTTGCGTTTTGTTTTTTTTAGAATCTAATCTTATAAATTATATGTATATAGTAAAATATCCTTAAGAAAATTTATGGTTCTAACTTATCTTTAAGAAATTCACAAGTACATTTTAGTTAAATGTTGATTTGCATCTCTAGCTAGAGATTACTATCAGATGATCGTGTTGTTACCGAGTTGCATAATCGTTTCTAGGAAAAATAATCTGTCAACTTTTGAGGTTAGCGACTGTATACTGAATTCCGGGAAAATATAAAAAACCCGTTCAGTTATCATACAATCTATGTCAAAAAGATTGTTTGTTTTTGGCGGTAGCTGAGTATTGAAGCCGATCCTGAGATCGACCCAATCTTTTATTGAAAAATATTTTCCCTTGACCACCTAGAAAATATATGTATATGTATATCTGTTTTAGGAAGTTAACAAACGTCGTATTCATCACGTTCGTCGTGTTGTTATTGCTTCGTATGTAAAGATTTCAAGTATCACACCTTTAAGAGCCTGTTATTTGTTTGTGGTATCAAGGAATTATGTTGTATGATTTCTTTATGGTCTTAAATTAAAATAAAAAAATTGTAAATACCATAATCGGTTCCATGTGTGGCTTTATAACTGTGTTATTATAATTCGTTGTCGTAGGAATATGATGAATACGATTGATACATATGATACAAATACAATTTATCAGAGCTTAAAATTTTAAGCGAGGAAGCCTGTTAGTATTATATACTGTAATTAATTCCAAATATTAAATATGGACGCGGGCGCCTTATTTTTGCGACCCACTCGCATTACTCTTGAAAGGAAACCCGGTCCTTACCTTGGCACAAGAGGAAAAAAATTCTGAAAACGCAAATAGCTTATGGCTTATATAAGAAAAATATACTATGACTGCTGCAACCCTTACTTGATGATGTACTTGTAGAACAGCGAAAATAACACTCTTCGTACAAAACGAAAAAGTTAAAGAAAAGTACTTTTTAAAAAAGAATATACTTACTAGTTTTTATGCAAAAAGTTACATACTCTTATTAAAATTTTTTTAATAGTGTTATTTTCGCTGCAACATGTTTTGATGGTTACAGTTAAAAACTAGTTATAGACAGAAAATAAAGACTTGTCGAATTCTCGGATGTTTTCTAGGTAGGAAAGTACGAATACGCAGCCAAGGTGGGGGTAGGGATTGCTGAAATGATTTTTATGTTTTGTTTTGTTTTGTTTACCTATATCTATTGGAGTTTCTATTTGTAATAGTAAAAATTTGCTAAAAATGTAATTTAAAGATTGCGCTTTATACGAAGAAAGTGTGACGGGGAGTTTATCCAAGTGGATTTTCTTGGATTGCAGTTTTCACGCAACGATGCAACTCAATGTTTTATTTAACGTCTACTTTTTCATGTTTTTGAAACACGTTTTTTCCTATAAATTGAAATATGTTTTAGTTTATATTAACAGTCGAGCTCTGATAAATTTTTGTATGATGCGCATGTATGTAGGTAGATATTAACTCTTATTATTTCCCACAACTCAATGATCGCTCTTTTGATCGCATTTATTGTCGAATTTCTTTAAATATGTTGGACACAAGTATGCTTGTATGCAAAAACCATGATATAGTGCAATGCTTTTTAAAGAATAAATTGTATTTATTTAGTTTGTATGAAACAGTATGAATTGTGCCATTAAAATTGTAATATAATTGTAAAACTGCATTTTACATTAAGAGATTGTCTCAAATAAAACCTGAGACAATAACTGTTTGTTTGTAAATATGCAATTCGTAACAAATTAAAAAAAAAAAACTATGTATTATCAGACAAATTATTAATTATTCGAGTGCAAGTACATGCAATCTTAATTGTGTATATCTATTTCTGAATTATTAAAACTAAAACTTGCATTTGGTGCTAGTAAAGCACACAATGGCTTTAATAGGCTGATTTTTTTTTTTACAAAAATTACTGATTATCTGCGATATTGCAATTGGGTGAAATTCGGCACAAAGATAGCACTAATTGCTAGAAATCGACCATAAATAAAGAAATATTTATGTGAACAAACCGTCGAATGGGGTCAATATTTCATAAGATGGCTTTACTTAATCAATTGGCAGTTTTCGCATGAAATTAAAACATGTCTAAAATTTAAACCACATCGAAGACCATCGCACAGAAGCATTTCATCTTTAATATGGAATGACTGCATAGGTGTAGATATAATGATATCGTTTTACAGTAAGAAATATGTATATTGTATTAAGGTAATTCTAAAACGTCAGATTGTTGGCATTATTTTTCTATTAATAGAGGTACTCGTATATATTATTAATAACATTGTCATTGGATGAGTGCCTTAAAGAATTCCACTTAAAATAGAATAAAAGCTCTGAAAGTTCTTATATGTGTATATACAAATGTATATGTATATTAAATTTGTTTTTATTTAAGTGTTCTGTGATTATTTAACTTCTACGGATAGAAAATTTCGCGTACAATAATATAAAACTCAAAGAATGCTCCACCGGAGTTTAGTGTGTTTAGCATACCATAACGTACTTAACAGGTTTATACACAAAGTGAGAATGAAATGAAAATTGAAATTCGTTGAAATCGAAATAATATAAAAGCCCGTTTTGTTAGCTACGCTTGATCTTCAATTGATATCATGACGAGTTTTCGAAAGCTTAAAAGTTTAAAAGCTGTAGTACATCCATCATGTGCTTGTATGTTCCTTCTTCGATTTCGGCAATTACACAAACAAAGTACGTGAACAATATTGCTACATCAACAACAACGCGGTGGGAATCCAGCTCCAGGTTACTCAAAAAACACATTAGGTTTTGTTTTACCATTCTGCTACTAACCCATGTGACTATGACACGGATTATTTTAATAAATTTTTTGTTATTTTACGGCCTATACATAACTTATCAGTATGAAGAATTGAACGAAATTTATTAAGTGGCCCCCATCTGTTTGTTATTGCCCGACCTAAAACTATGTTTAACTATTTTGAACTACTACTCTCTTTTTTTGTCTGTGATGAATGTGTGAATTATAGAAAAACTAATTTGTCTCCATAAAAATCCATCGGTCAATCGGAGGCGTCTTAGAAAAAACTGTAAGCCTCTTCAATTGCTGGTAAAAACCATGACGGAGATCACCAATTATAGAAAATCGCTTCATAGGTAACAAATCGTCAACAATATGAAGTCATAGAGGAGATGTTTTTCATTAGCGTAAGCAGACTTTCTTAGAATACTTACAGTTAGCAGTTTTCTCACAATCGTCGAAATGAAATTTCTGTTCGGCTGAAAACTCGATATTTAACATAATTTTATGTACATTACAAGTTTGAAACTTATCTTTAATTTTCCACAGTCAGCGAATATCGAAAATAAAATGTAGCTTATAATAGGGATCTCAAAGATAAATAAATATTCGTTCACATGTGATAATGTTAAATATGCATTGAATATTAAAATTTTGTTGATTAAAATAGCCTTTTCAATATATTGTACAATGCAATTCGAATATAAAAAAATCCGAAATATTTACCTCTGCATATAAACATGTAAGTACATAAATGTATTATTTAAATAATAAATGGAATTTGAAAAGTACAAAACAATACAGATTGGCTTACTCTTTATGTGCATTTTCATTTACATATTGGTTTGCATAGTTTTTTGGGATGCTAAATATAAAATAAAAAATTTCTGCACACGCACATACGAGCAGATGCTCTGCGCGAGTCAACATACAGTGGGATTTTTTATATCAGATTGACCAGATTTATTTGAAGCACACCGTTGTCCAATTTATTAAAAAGAAAATTTTTGTAACAGCAAAGTTCCTGCGAGACAAAAAGTGAAAGTTAAATTTTCTAATTGCGGTCGCCCCTCAGCATGGAATGTCCACCCCTCCGAGTGTATTTCAAACATGAAATAAAGCACCTCGTAAAAAACCATTACCCGTTCGGAGGCGGCTTAGTATAAACTGTAAGTCCCTCCATTTGTTGGAAAAACAACAAGACGAAAAACCACAAATTGGAGCAGGAGCTCGGCCGAAAAATCCCTTCAGCGGTTACAAAGCGCCAATTATATGTATATCCTCTAATACCAATTCCCAATTACCAATTTAGAAGTTTGTGTAGTTTTTGCCCAAATTCGTCCATATATAATTCATGCTCATAGTACATCATAGGAGTAGTAGCTTTCGAAGTCATCCTTACCGAAATGAAGAAGAAAATTGGAAAGTCAAGCAAGTTTATTACAGAGGTAAGCTCAACCCTGCCGCAAATTGTCTTGCTTGAACAATGATTATAAAAAAGCATAAATAAGGAATAGTGATAATTACCATTTACCGACTATCGTGCCAATTTTTCGCTAGTATGCATTACTTGGGAGTTTCTACGATTTTGAAGGCTCAGTCGCCTTTGTTGATTTTGACTGGCTTTGGCTAGAGTTTTAATATTAAGAAAGGCCATTTCGTTTCCAATTCAATCGGATTTCTTAATATAGCCTTTTCTAAATATAACATGTTTACCATCTATGCTTACTGTATATATGCATATACATACGTATACTAGGTTTAAATCGTTTTTATCATCACGTTTATCAAAACATTTCATTGTGCATGTGGGCTAGAGATATATACATATGTATGTATGTTTGTACAATGCAAATGCAAATATGCACAAACATACTACATATGTATATTGATCGATTCATTGACGAAAATAAAACGGTCACAATCATTAGGGCAAAATACGCGATATTGGTTAAATTGACCTGAGGATTTTTCAAGATAAAAACTGATAAGCCAACGTACTTATTTAAAATATATATTCAGTGAGAAATAAAAATTTTTAAATTTATTGAAATATGTCGTGGAGAGTACGTCGATTTTTGAAACAAGTTCGAGAGCAAAAAGAAGAGGAAAAAGTAATCGAAAAAGAGGTCGCATCTAAGTCTATTGAGAATAATGACTGTTCAACAATTACAAATTCATGCTCTGATATTTGTACTGATCGTTCACCCAGTTGTCAGGGTAGATATGTCAATTGGATGAGCAGGCATACAGATTTGGCCACACAGCCATGGTGCTGCATTAGTGATTTAATCCACTTTTGCGATAAATATGAATACCAATCGTTCGGGCTTAGTGACACAAGTACGATTAATAACATTGTTGCTGAAGTCAAGGCTCTACTATCTGTTGGTCAAGCTCCTTTCGATATACGTAAACGCTTTCCAGGAAATATTCATAATCCGGAAAATTTGTGGATATGCATAGGAAGTTGTCCTGGTGTGGAATACCATTTGAAAAAAATTTTGAGTGTGTTTCGAAAACCTCTTGTACCATTGCCTGCAGATAAGCTACGAGTGGCAAGACAAAATTTTCACATGGCAGTCGCTCAACTACGCTTAGATATATCAGCTCGCATTAGCGCAGTTAATCTTTACGATCGCAATATTTTCGAAAGTGAATATCATTTGCATTGGGAAGACGAAGCCGAATAAGATCTACAAATATTTGAATCAATATTAAAATCAACCATATAAATTTTGTCATAATATTCAATAAATTAAATGCGTAAAAAATTAAAAAAAAATAACTCTTGGTAATGTCAAAAGGAAACTACAAAAATAATAAATAATATTCAAAATACGTTATTTTGATCAACTATGTATATAAGTTGCTTAGTTTGTTTTCAATTTCGTCTAAACTTATGTATATTAATCAATTGTGTTATTTAAAACAATAATTTTTATAATATTTTGAAATTGTACAGGTACAAGCCATGACGATATTGTTCTCATGAGGATCAAACTAGCAAACGCAGTTGTGGTGTTTTGTAAATAATATTGTTGTCTTTGGTATATTGGGTGTCTCAAAAATTATGCCTAAGATGCCTAGAGATATAGTGTAAATATGTGAAAAAAATATCAAAGAATGAAATATTGTTTTCAGTGGCAAAGATTAAACCTTTTGCATTAAATCAGTTTTTTGAGCGATCATTAAGAAATGCTAAATTTCTGGAGGTGTATTCCTATTTCCTATTTCTTCCTATTCGGAAGAAGGATTTTTAAAGTAAGAGGGAGTGTTTTTATATTTGCGGAACGAGATGGTTATATGTGATTGATTAGGCTTATTAGGATCGTAACGTGTGCAGTGTGTAATAATTAGTATATATGTGAGTATACGATATATCCATTTTCAAAATAAAGAGAAACATTTTTTATAAGGTTATGAATAAAATAATTGAAAGATCTGAAAAATATATCCTTCTTGGTCCTGGTCCTGGCGAATATTTTGCAAAGGGAAAAGTATTTGTTGCTTTTAAATCCCATCCCATCTCTCGTATGTGTCTCCACAGATTTGCAAAGTACAATAATTTTTTTCTTATAATACAGTAAGTAAACATACTTCCTTTACTTTGAAAATAAAATATAAATATAAAATGATGAAACAAGAAACATTTCCATCGCCATCCTGCACATATAGTCCTACTGCATTAATTTTTGTGGAAATAACTCTTCTTTTGAATTGTGTTGGATAACGACTTTTTGGAAACCCCTACCTAAATATGGCTTATTTTCCAATTCCGCCACAAGAATATCAAATTGAGCGCTTAGTAGCAGCTTCAATTTTTGTATACGTGTTTGTATATTCTATTACAGTCGGCTGTTATGGCTGTGCGATATGTCCTTCTCTACCTGGTTTTTCCAACGGAGCGGATGTGAACATCTTCCTCTGCTTCCGAAACTTTCAAAGCTGGAGTATTCGCATTCATCGCGACCACATGCCCTATATGTATAGTAACGGGATAGCCGAGTGGTTAGCATAGCGTACTAATATTCGGAAGGCCACGATTCGAATCCTGGTTTGAAAAATACTTAAGCGGTTACAAAGCGCCATTTATACGTAATTGTTTAAATCTGTATAACATTTAAATTTATGAATGTGTATGACCTATTCGGCCTTATGCTGCAACTACCCATCTTACATACCGCACAGCCATAACAGCCGACTGTAATAGAATATACAAACACGTGTACAGAAATTAAAGCTGCTAACAAGCGCTCAATTTGATATTCTTGTGGCGGAATTGGAAAATAAGCCATATTTAGGTAGGGGTTTCCAAAAAGTCGTTATCCAACACAATTCAAAAGAAAAATTAATGCAGTAGGGCTACATGTGCAGGATGGCGACGGAAATGTTTCTTGTTTCATCGTTTTATATTTATATTTTATTTTCAAATTTAAAATGAAAAGTAAAATTATGAATCACAAGAAAGAGTCAAGAGCAACCGGCAAAGGGGTTACAATCAGATGGTATTGACTCCTCTTGAAAAATATGTTTGCAAATTTAACGGGATTCGAAGAGCTGTTAAATCCAAGTGGTGCAATAATTGGTGTTAATGATGATAGCAATGCATCGCAGTGCGACTTTAGCAGCAACAATACACCAACAGATTTAGAGAGAGTTTCTGAAGTGCCAAACAAGAAATCTTCTCAAGTAAATGTTTTATTAGTAGTTTATGTGGTAATTGCCAGACTTTCGCAATTTAAATTTCTGTGCTCTTATTCACTCGTATTTCATTTTTTTATTTCAAAATCGGTTTTACTGATTTAAGCAAACTTCATATCTTGAATACATTATTTGAATTTCACAAATATACTTACTTGCTTTACTGGCGTAGACACGGATTACGCGATTATAGCCTATTTACAACTGTGCGCCATTCGTTTCTTCTTTTTGCTGTTTGGCGCCAATTGGAAATACCAAGTACAGCCAGGTCCTCCTCTAGCTGGTCTTTCCAACGGAGTGGAGGTCTTCCTCTACTTCTACCGGCGATTACTGCATGGAAAACTTACAAAACTGAAGTATTCGCATCCATACGGATCACATGGCCAAGCCAGCGTAGCCGCTGCTTCTTGATTCGTTGAACTATGTCAATGTCGCCGTATAACTCGTACAGCTCATCATTCCATCGCCTGCGGTATTCGCCATTGTCAACGCGCAGAGGACCACACATCCTGCGCAAAACCTTTCTCTCGTAAACCCCTAACGCCGACTCATCAGATGTTGTCATCGTCCATGCTTCCACACTTCAAAGTGGACTGTAAACAGTGATGATGTTGTTTGATGACAGGAGATATGTTGTCTTGTTCTCGATCACTAGCAGACCCATTCGCTTCGCTTCTTTATCAAGTCTTGAGAAAGCAGAACTGACGACGCGGTTGTTGAGGCCGATAATGTCAATATCATCGCCATTCGCCTGTAATTGTACACTCTTATAGAAGATTGTACCTCCTCTATTCAGCTCTGCAGCTCTTATTATTCTCTCCAGCATCAGTTTGAAGAAATCGCACGGCAAGAAGTCACCCTGTCTGAAATCTCGTTTGGTATCGAACGGCTCGGAGAGGTCCTTCCCAATTCTGACTGCGCTTCTGGTGTTGTCTAGCGTCAGCTTACACAGCCGTATAAGTTTTGCGGGGATACCAAATTCAGACATAGCGGTGTAAAGGCAGCTCCTTTTCGTGTTGTCGAGGGCGGCTTTAAAATTGACGAAGAGATGGTGGGTGTCGATCCTCTTTTCACGGGTCTTTTCCAAGATTTGTCGCATGGTGGTCTAGTCAATGGTTGACTTACCAGGTCTGAAGCTTCAGTCTTTCACACAATACGCTCGACAAGACACGGCACTGTTAACTATTTGCATCAATGCTATCACTCATCTGTGTTCGACTTGTACCGCACTGGTGCTGTTTTTTACGTAAATATTGTTTTCTGTGGTTCAATGGTGTCGCTCAGGTTTGTTCTGTTTGCCTGACAAGAATGAGGAAAATAAACAAGGAAACGAAGAGAGAATGACTTACACGTATACATTTGTAAACATCACATCTGTCATTTCGGCCTTCAGAAAGTGGTATGAAAATCGTTCTACGAACGGCAGTTCGCAATGCTAACCACCCGGCGACCACTATTTATTAAATTCTGTATTTTTAACTCAGGAATAATAGCGTAACCGGTGTCTATGCCAGTAAAAAAAGAAAATCTTTATTTATATGTATGTATATTTATTATTTATTGATATTTATGAAAAGGATTAAACCATTTGTTGGTCTAATGTATATCTGAGATTTGTCTAACAAAACTTTAGTTTCATTTTAGTTGTTTTAGGTACATGACGAATGGTTAATGATATGCGAGTTCCACGTTTCAAAATATCTCCCATTTTATGCGTTGTTTCGCAATTCTCATAGTTGCAAATTTTATCGCAAAGTGTATCTTCCTTAAATTCGTTAATGGCATGCAAATAGTCCCTATATAATGAGTCTTTAAGGATTAATAAACTGCGAGGTTCTAAAAGTATTTTAAAGGCAGTTTCGCGTGGTGAACTTTCTGGTTGGAAGGATTCAATATTATTTGTTTCTTCCTGTGGGCCTGTTTCGGTATGATCTAATGTATTCACTCTCCCATCAATGAATTCGAGTACCGTATATGAGCCGCATGTAATTGTGGATATAGTAGGATGAAACAAAGGGCCATCAGTATGTGGCATAATCCCTTGTCCAGATAAGTACTCGTTCACTAGAACATGATTAGCATTGTGAGTCCCAAAAATATCTATTTAACCGAAGTATAAAAATATTGCTTTTATAAAATATACATTACATTACATATATTAATTACTTAAATTATTGATTTTGTCCACATAAACTTGCAGCCAGTCAGGAATTTTTTCAGCCAACATCCCGTTTGGATGGGGTATTCCTCCATAATTTATTAGCCGTCTGTTAAGTAACTGTGTCCACTTAGGTTTTGGAGTACGCTCGATGTGAGATAATATACGCTGTTCATCTCCTGAAGTAATGAAGTTCGGAATATAAATAGCCGTTGCGGGGCACTAAATTTTTCTTTTAATCTTCCTCCTCAATTTAATCAATAGAATTTTATTTACCCGTCGAATTTGAAAGTCCGAAAAATCCATTTCACTTAAAAAAAACCGTTTAAATCGGTAGAAAAGCTAGTTGAAAGATTAAAAAGTCTGAACTTCCAATTGCTTTGCTTGCACGATTGTTTAGCCAATTATCAAATAATAAACTCCACAATGTGTAACACAAATAAACACAAGAATAGAAAAACAAAAAACTCAGTAATGTAATTTACTTATCGATATGGTTTATCGAATTGCTAACTATCGAATATCTTGGCTTAATCTGACGATACAACCCCGGAATTCAGTATCTCGATACGATTATAGCACTAACTCACAATTCTCGAATTGAATTGGTATTGCAATGACAGTTTCTTTAATAATTTCTTTTTTTTTCTTCTTCAACATTCAAATAGTGTTTGGTTTCAAATAAATGTTTGTGTGTTAGGGTTTTCTTTCACGATTTTCATCTCTTTTGTCTTGACTTGTCAACTGGTTTCGATAAAATTTCAATAGGAATTAGAGAAGGCATCGATTTAGTCGTAATTCGCATGGCAATTGCAAACGAATTACTTTTGCTCTGATTTGTTCACGAAAATTTTGTATGGCGAATTAAATAATTCGGCATATATTTAGAAGGCGAATTATGATTGAGAGAGCGAAAAACGTGATTGGGGGTCGTGGAAATGCCGTATAAGCAATTTAGTATTTTTTGCATCATAATTATTTTCCGCAATTTTTAAATATCCAAAAGACTCAGAGAACTACCATGTAGCCAATTGGATGCTACCTTATCACCATAAAATTGAACTGCGTCAAGAAAAATTTGAATTTGAATTAAAGTCAAACGAAGAATATATCTATTATTTTTTCTGATAGTCCTTTTTAAGGACGAAGATTTATGTAAAGCTTTGCAGCAACTTGTCTGTCATAGGCGAGCGATGATTTCCCCCCAACCTAGTTTCGCTTCTACGTCCAATAAGAATTGGCATCAGTATTTCTGTATTTCTTTTTTTGTTCCATTTCAAAATGCATAAAAATAAAAGTTTTTAGTAAAAGTTAATACAACATTGAATAGAATTGGTAATTGGAATCTCAACAAGTTTAATATCCGACTGGTTATTACAGTTTGTTTAATAGCTTCTATTTTTTTTTGCGAATAGCGTCGTAATTGGGATGCCGTGAAACCGCCATATTATTATTACCCAGCAGATAAGTGCGTATGTTTGTTTAAGGTTGAAGTGGAAAAATACTAATTAGACTTCTAGGCTAACTACAATAATTGCAACTGCAAATCTCAGGTTGATTTCTCGGGTCATGAAATTATTTCATATTTATAATAATCCTTTTCGGTGAGCTGATGGGCAAAAAGGTTGTTACCAATGAGCCACGCTTGCGCTTGGAAAATTACAAACAGTAAAATTAACAAGCAACAAAGGTAGCAATTGTAATTTCTTTAAATTTAATGGAATCAAATAGTAAAGGTACTTGTAAACGATTGATGTAAATCAGTCTCAAAGTCAGTCGTTCATACCGAAAAAAATGAATGAAATTAAAATGCATTAATTAGATTTGGTATTTAAGAACAAGTTCACAAGGCAATTGGAATATACATATACATACATATGTACATTTGTACACTTTGTAAATTTGGGCAATCACTGTGCCAGCTCGAGATTTCTTCTTGAATTGGATTTGATTAAAACGATATCGGTGGTCGAACCTTTTTTCAAGTTCTCTAAAGGGTTTTTTTAGTGATTTTTTTTTTTTGTATGTCTTGGAGCTTTTTCAGTTTTTATCTCCAATCATGAGAATAATTTCTATGATTCATGTTATTCGATAATGCCGGAACTGGAAAATCTCTTCTAATATTTTTGTCTCTCACAAACAGAAAACAATCCATACGAGTACATACATATATATTTGAAAATTGCACTTTGTTGCCCAGTCTTCAAACGTGAATATGTTATTGTACGTATGTTATGGATGCACATGTTTGGGTAATTTTAGCAAATATTTTCCTATTTCAGCTATAATTTTTTTCTGTTTTTTAAAAGTTTTAGATCTTTGCGTTTAAAGTAGATATGTATATACTTATGTACATATTATGCTTTCTATACCCACCAGCTCTTGGGGGCTTATATAAATTCTGGAAGTTTTAGGTTCCACTATAATTTGTTACCGACATTATATAATATATGCTCATAAGTGCTAATTAGAGTGATCTCCCCAATTAAAAATGAATATGTCTATATATATGTATAGTATGTATTCTTTATTTTATAATGATGAACAAATTTTGGCATTTTGCATAAAGCGCACATACAATAAATCCATAAAAGTTATTGTTTTGATACTGACTAGTAATAAATATCTTAAAATTAAATCGATAACTATGTATTACATTTCTATAGATATTAAAATTGATTTTTTATTGACTATATTGGTATTTGACGAAAGAAAAGCATATTACATTAAACGGAAAAGTCCATTAACTTACATAAGTACAATTTATTTAAGGTGGGCATGAAAGTACGTGTATGTAATAGATTATCTACATAATGAAACGGGCACGTAAGTTATAATATTTTGACTAAATGTATTTCACAGTTTAGAATAAAAACGAGATATTGTATTTTTGTTACAAAACTTGCTTATAAATCGGTTGACTTATTTTTAAGATTATACATAGTTATATATTATATATTAAGATGTCTCGCTTTAGTATGGAAGACCGTTTTTTGTTGTTTTCATTCTTCATATTTATATACATATAGTACATATGTCCTAGCACACACACATAAATGATTTACTAAGCTTGTAGTGTATATATCAGAGATGACCGTGTGATATGACATGACCACAGTGTAACCTTATTTGAATATCCAATCTTAGTACAACGAATTTTTCGATTTAACGAAAGCTCGAGAAATATTCACAAACGTTAAAAAATACATTTTTGAATTGTACGTATGTATTATATATGGACTTACATATAAATAAAAATATTTACCAAAAACTTTTTTTAATGAGTTTATAATCACTACAGATTATATGTAGATGATAATTTTAAGGATTTTTTCAACCCGTAAGAATACTAAAATAGCAAAAAATTAATATTGGTTGTGATTTATTATTCTCTGAAAATCATGTAAAATCCTTTCGCTTAAAAAAATTTTTAATTATCAATATAAATCACTAGCTTTATCAAGGCAAGCAGATCTGCATCTGCGTAATGTTGAGGTTCATGAACAAGTTTGTTAACTTGTAAAAGGAATAATGGTCCAAACTAGCCATTACACAACAAACCTCATTGTAACAAATTACTCAGCATAACGAATATTTTTTTACTTCCCGTGGAATTCGTTAATATCGACGTTGCACTGAATAGTCAATAGAGGGGTAGCAATACATTATTCAAAGAAGAAGGTATTTGGGGACCAGGGAAGGTATGTGTAGGTGCATATTAACCCTTCGGTGTTTATTTTTGTTCTAGAAAATAACACCTCATCTTTGTTCGGAGGTGGTTTGAAATTCTGGCTGTCTTCTTTCGGGCGAACGCTTAAGCAATTGTAAAGCTTAAATTCTATAATTTTATACCCTTCTTTCATCGTTATAGTTAATTTTGAGTTATTAAAAGTTATTTAAAAAGCAAAAGTAGCGATTCTATTCTAAGATTCCAAGCTATGTAATTTATTTAACATTTATAACATGAAACAGTATTATCCCACAATTCGTTGCAAATATGTATGTGTGTGCATGTATAAATTCCAAACGTATGCCCGTTCTTAACTTCTAATATATATAATCTATATTGTAATAAAAAACAGTGGTTTTCTTACATACGTAATATTGGTATTAATAATGATGTAACTACCCAACTCACATACCTTCCGTCCATACTAACCCATCTTATGAAAGCGCCATGTGAACACAAAGTTGTCACCGCTTGCCCATGCCGTTAGTGATGGTTGTCCCGCAGAAACCAACGGCGATTTGATTTTTTCCGTAAAACCGGCTTGGCTCATTTCTCGTTGCTATACAAGGTTGCCAGTATAGTCTTTTTTTAAAGGTATATTAAATAATCGAAGAAAATTTATAGTTTTTTTTTCAAAATAACTGAAAACTATATTATTTGCTATCATATAGATCATGTTGATCGGCGTTTATATTCGAACACATAAATTATGAAATTTGTTGACGTAAATTATATATTTGTTTAGAAGTGTGCAAACACACTGGCAGCTGGTAACATTTCGTCGGTCTCGGCTACGTCAACAATTGTGTATGTATCTCACTCTTGACGTCGCCTGTTATGGATGGATGGTGAGTAAAATGGGTAGTTGCAACATAAGGCGATGTTTTCAGACTGCTTTGATTTAATTATATTCGTCATAGTTTAACCCGGTTGTACATTCTCTTAAACGATAATGCTTTTGCCTATCTCAAACCTCTAATCATTATGAGAACTGTCTCTAATGTAAGAATATTCTTCTACTTTTTTCTCGAATGTCTTTTATAAGTTATTTTATTACTTATGTGCTTACATATATTCCCGAAAGATTAAGAAAAAAGACGTAGACGGTTATGCCTTGCGAACGCAGATATCTATAAAGAACATTTGTTTAGAACGAAATTAAACCATATGCTGAAACTAAGTTATAGATGACCATCGTACAGAAGTCTGTTACTTTTTACAAGGAATGACTGTATATAAAGATGGGTATTTCCACAAAAATGTAAGCCGCTGCTAAAAAAATGAAAATTTTATATATTCTGAGAAGTACCGTTAACAAATTATGGTAATGTAAGTGCCAACACGAGTTTTTTAATTTAGCATGATCGCGGTATGTAAGCCACTGCACTTTTATTTTCTGGTATGAAATTGATTACGCACATTTTTGTAGCATCATTAGTGATTTTAAACCTGGCTTAAATAATTAATTCCATATATATATATAATATATTATGCTCATAACTAATATTTTATAACCAATTTAGTTCTGATGGCGGGCTTGTGCCACACAGGAGTACTGACACGGACTAACCAGGAGAGGGAAAAGTAGTTATAAAATCCGAAGCACTTACCTAAGAATCTCCTAAGCCGGAAATGATGATAAAAAAAGTGTGAAAACTCAAATTTTGCTGTATTCGGCAGCTGAATGGCACAAAGAGACTTGTTAATATCATGCGCTCTTCGCGAGAGTGTTTAGAGTAAAAGAGGTGCTTGTATTAAAAGTAGCTATAACTTATAATTAAAGCTGCTAAATATCAAACAGATTTAGACAGCTTTATAAAATCTGAGATAACGGAAGACGGGTTAAGAATTAACCCCCACATCTATTTGGGTTTATTAAAAATGTCACTAACAAAACATAAATTTCCAATGTGAAATTAAAAACCTTTTCCTATATATGTACATACATATGTATGTATATTAAGAAATTCAGAATATGTTTTCCTGTTTCATCTTGCAATTTGAAAAAAAGTAGAAATACATAAATCTATGTGTATTGTTTATGAGCTTCTGAATGTGATAAATTTGGTTATTTTGATTGAGGCGCGAAGCCTTTGCTAAAAGCTTAATATTGTGACAGCGAAGAAGTAATCAACAAAAAATCAGTCTTACTGAATTCATCACCTAATACAAAACAAACATTTCATACCGAACTTCAGATCATTGTGTACTTTTTAAATCAAATGTAGACGAGGTGGGTTCATTGCAACCGTTGCAGAGAAAGGTCATAATGAAACAATATCAACCAAAGCCCATGGTAACTCGTCAGTAAAAATCCCTTTTTTGGTAAATAAAAGCTCAGCAAATATATTTTCCGGAACAAAAAGTATCTTAAGCATTCCTAACTCGCTTCTCATAACCACATAACTTGGGTGGTAGGTGCTTTGCGGTCATTTAAAGAAAGTTATCAGCGATAAACTAAGCATTTCTCAAAGATTTTAATATTCTGTCATGAGCTATTTTGCTCAATCTTCATAATATGAATTTTAAATTTAATCTTCAATTTTCGACAATCAAAGAAGATTGGAAATGAACAGCTTTATAAACTTTGCCAATTTATTTAATTTTATTGTTTCATTTTTGTTTTTAAGAATCATTTAGCAGAAGACATCTTGGGTACTATATACATATACACGAGTATATATAATTGGCACTTTGTAACCGCTGAAGCGATTTTCGACCGAGCTTCACCTCCAATTTATGGTTTTATAGTTTTTATTTAAATTAATTTCTTTAAGTTTGGATTTTGATCGCACCAGGATTTGAACCCGGTCCTTCCGAATGTAAGTACGAAATGCTAACCACTCGGCTACCGCGGTACCTTGTTATATAATAATTATGTATATTTGCATACAATATGTGCATACAATACAGTTTGCTGTGTTTCCAAGACGTAACCTCCCAAGTCTATTGCTGCAACTACCCATCTTACATACCGCACAGCCATAACACCCGACAAGATATGCAAGCACGAGTTATAGTTGCTAACAGCGACGAAATGTTGCCAGCTGTCACACTGGATGTGATTGCATAATTTTAAACAAATTTATAATTTTCGTCAACGAATTTCATAATTTACATGTTTTAATATAAACGCCGATCAAATATACATGATCTATATGATAGCAAATAATTAGTTGCTAATATAGTTTTGAGTTATTTTGAAAAAAAACTACAAATTTTCTTCGATTATTTAATATACCTTTAAAAAAAGACTATACTGGCAACCTAGATAACCGCGAACAATCAGCTAACCAGGTTAAACGAAGAAAATCAAATCGCCGCTGGTTTATGTGGGACAACCGTCAGTAAAGGTATGTAGAAGGTATGTAAGATAGGTAGTTGCAGCTGTGTTGAATGAAATGATAGCCATTCTAATGCTATTATACTATGTGCATGTACCTTTCGGTCATGTTAATGCTATTGTTATCCAATAAATTTAGATTATGGATCTCTGTATTCACAGGTCATAACCGCCTGATATAAAGTGTCATTTTGCCAAGGCTTGGTTCATAAAATATAGTGAAAATAAAATTTGTTGGTTAATTTCAAATGAATATTTTTCACAAACATATATATATGGATATCTGTGTTTGTACGTACTGCAAATACATATAAATACCTACATACTCGTATGTATGCAGTACCAAAACTACAACTAACTGCCAAGCGAAGCTCCTTGTGCGATGTTGCTGTTAACTACGTCTTTGATATTTTTCTTGATTTTGTCATTTATTGCAGATCTAAGGGCGGTAGCGTGATCGTCACCAGTTGTGCCTTCGTTACTAAAATTATCAAGTTTTTTCTCCTCTTCTTTGTGGCTGCTCTTGTTCGTTTCATTTTTATATAGATTAGCGCATATTTGTAACTTGAAAGAGCCTTCACTGCTTTCATTATTTACATTTGATCCTCGCGGTTCCGATGCTTGTTGAATATGATTGACTTCTTGAAAATCTTGAAGATATCCTTTAGATTTGTCATTTGTTTCTATTACGTTGGTTCCCTCGCCGCTGTTCTCATTGCTACCTACAGACGGTAAATACTCTACTGAGGCTGTTAGACCTGGCTTCACTGCATTGTGTTTAGATGCCGATTGTAGTATCAACAATTGTCGCGCTTGAGTGATGCACGCCGCACATGGGCAAGGACCACCTAGTTTTTTGGCTAGCATAGACCGCAGCTTCAACGCGGGACCTAACTTCATTCCCAAGGAATTTAGTAAATGATCCTCTGTAAGTAAAGGTAATCCTGTTCCATCAATACTTTGGTCACGAAAATGCTGTAAAATTATTAAAAATAAGTTTTAGTGGATTTCAAAAATTATTGAGGCATATGTTTATATGTTCTTTCATGAAATACAAGTAAACATACTAACAAAATAAATGACTAAATGCAATATTGTAAATTTAATTGAATGATAACCAAGATTCAATTAAATAGTAACGATACCCGTTACAGAAACATTTTGTGGCACAACACAGCCTACATTGAGGAGTTGGAAGTTAGGAATGTTAAAGACCTTGAAACAGAATATTTTTTTTTTTTTGTACAACGCATGCTAATATTGAATAATTTTAATTTACTAGAAAACTGTGTCCTCCAAATCATATTGGTATCTTTATGGTTTAAAGGCTAAGAAACATGTGGAATTACATCATTGTTGCATAACAATAATTTCTTAAATACAATTAATAAATTAAAAATTATCCGATTTTCTTTGTTCTTATTTTCGAGTAGAACGCCATTTTTTACCGTTTTCTCCGCAGCAGATAGAAGTGAAAAATATACATATGATGAGGGTCCTGTACAAGTTGTGGTAATAATATCTATATTGTCGATTAATTAACTACTTCATTTTTCATAACTCTTTACATTGTTTTTATTTAATGGTACTCCATATTGTACAAAAAATTCTGTTAATGGAGCAGGTTAAGTAGAGTGGACGCTTCTCATCTTGTAGCAGCAGCACATCTCAAAAATATTCAACTAAACTTTACGAGGTACAACTGCATTAAGATATTAATAACATTATGATACGAAAATATTTTTTTAATTTTACTTAGATGCCTTTATATTTCAAAGGAGCTGTGATTATGACGGAGGCGTTTGGGAAGCTGGAGCTGCGTCACTAATAAAGACTTCTTAAAATATTTTGCTTATTTTTGAAAACGAATTTATTGTTGTATTGTTATTTCTTTTGTGTGCTATGTAAACCATGCACATGATTTATGTTAAATATTGATAATGTTTGTACGTATGTATATATGTATGTACATATATACATATGTAGGGAAAATTTCCGTCGAAAGCTGATTTCCTTCGGCATCAATGGTGTCGCTCATCTGTGTTCGTCTTGTACAGCCCCGCTGCTGTTTTTCACGTCCATATTGCTTTATTTTGGTATCAATATTGTCGCTCAGCTGTGTTCGGTTTGTCCGACGAGAATGACAAAAATGCACAAGGAAACGAAGAGAGAATGACGCACACGTATACAAATGTAAACATCACGTTTGTCATTTCGGCTTTAAGAAAGTGATAGGAAAATCGTTCTACGAGATGACGGGATATGTTCTCATGCATTCCTGACATATGTTGACTCAAATGATCGGAAGCCTTCTTGCAGGGTACTTAAACGCAGAAAACAATAAATTGTAGACAAGGTTATTTAAATGTAACTGCCAAAATAAATAGCTGTTATTATAAATAATAAGAACGAATGTATCTATTGTATATTTTAACCTTGCTAGTGGGTGTAGGCTAATTTCAACTACTTGTAATTAAAAGTTAATTTGCGATCAAATGTATGTGTACATATACATATGCTATCTACCGCTCAGGTTAACAGATAAGCACTATTAAACAAAATCGTTTACTACAGGCTGGATTTGGTATTTCCAGGATAAACATCAAGCCAGTCGCAAATTACAAAACGCAAAAAGAGCTTGATCAGCAAATTTATATACATCTACTATATGTATGTATGTATAACAATCTTCAAAGACTCGCAAAACCGAGAATAGCAAGTAGTTTTTACATACGTATGTATATAAACATAAATCGTATCTAATGTCCTCCACTCTCTTTTTTTGTCATTAAACATGTGATCTAGTATTATGAATGCGGAAAAAGTTCAGGCAATTGGAGCAAACAAGATGGACCGGTCAACCAGCAATATTCTATGCATACGGACATATGTACATACCCTTGTAAATATGCATGTATGTATCTTATAAGACATTGAGAAATGAAGGTGAGCCAACCAGCAGCATATAGAACAGCGGATATAATAAAGGCGTAACAAAAAATACAAGTATACCAAAGTGGACGCGATAACAAGTATTTGTCAAAGAATATGAATAGTAATAAAAATGCATGTATGCATGTGTGTACGTAAGTTTGTATTCATAGGTACACGTCTGTACATTCTATATTAAAAACAAAGTTGTGTATGTAAATAATATGCATGTGCATGTACATACTGATGCAATCGACAGCTTCTATAGAGATACTGATGGTAATATCTTAACAAAATATTCAAATGTTGTCGTAGCCATAAATATAATTTAATATTCTTCGAGCGTGGCCTTTTGAATTTAGTTCAAAAGCAGTGTGGCGTGCAGTTTAAGGTCTAGTCAACATAGGCCGGATATATGTATATAGTATGGACGGACTAGCGCCCTAGATTAAGGCAGCTGATTTGATTCAATGTCCACTCCTCGGAATATTTATGAAAGACGAAGAATATACTTAAATGCATATACCTACGTATATGCTTTCATTTATACATGTGTATGAATGTGTGTACATATATACATAATTCATTGCAGTTTCCAATGGCGTTGACAGTGTCAAATATCCAGTTGCTGCGTGGAATGCACATATGTATGTACATACGTGTGTATGCATGCATGCGAGTATGTTGATTGAGCTCATGGGAAATACGTGTCTATGTATGTTTATATACATATGTAGGAAATTGGAGTATGATTAAAAAATCTTGACCTGGCTATAAAATTTCACTGATACTTGCTTTCCCTTACTGCATAAAGCTGTATACTGAATTGTTTACACTACATTGCAATAAAATTATTGCATTAGCTATTTTCAAAAATGTGTAAGTATGTAGTACATAACACAAACACTTTGTTTTCCATTTATGGTTAGGTTCCTCTGATGTATTTTCATAACTTGCCAATATATTTCTATACAGCAACCTTACCTTGACTTTTTTATACATTTGAATAATTAATAACTGGTTCTTTAAAACCGCTAAAGGAACATTTAGATAAAGCTTCAAGGCATCAAGACGCATATCACAGATTGGGGAAATAGCTCGGACGAAAATCGCATTAGTCCGAGTTTACACGGGGATACTTTTTGTCGACGAAACACTCGTTTGTAGTGGAGGAGGCGACGACGAAGGCGACAGCGCACCATGTCGCTGTGCTCGTTCGACATGCGTTGTGTTTCTATTTGCCTCTGTAGATTTTAACAAGAGTATATTCCGTAAATTGGAAACATTTGGAAATTGAATTGTATTTTTACCATGATACAAAATTTCTATAAGGTAGTTTCACTCCGAATTTTGCTCAGAAATGTTTGATCTTGTCACCTATAAAAATTTCAACTTGGAGATTTTTTTAAATTATTTTTGGGCATATGTTTTAAGCAAATGCTACAATATTGAATACACATATGGGGCTATTAAAATATTTATTTCAAGCCGTTTTTCTTAAGCGGCAGATGAATGAAAAGAATTTGCTAGATGCTTTTTATTATCAATAAATTGGAAAGAGTTTTCATTTTTATTTTTTCGAAACTAAAACTCATAGATCTGCAAATTGGGTCAACCCTGGGTACTACGAGGCCGATGAGCTGGTAAGGTAGGGAGCAATTTACAAAATCTGCACATGATGACGGCATACCTATTTCCTTAGCCAAGTATTTGTTAAGGGGGGAACGTGGCTTAGAACGCTGAAAATTGCATGATATTCGGCACAATGTTTTAGGTTGCCTTACGTAAGAAATGCTTCAAGTACTTTTAAAATAGGTCATAGATACACAAATCTTGCAAAAAAAAATTACTTTCACTTTATTTGATACTGTTTAGCAATAACAATTCGTATTTGTTTGTGGCACTTCTCGCTCGAAGAGTCTATTTTGTGAACACGATAGCGATCGTAGTTTTAATCTGAAACATAAAAACGAATACTTTTTTATAGCTTAGGAGTTGCTCTTCTATGAGAACTTAAGATATTCGAAGAAATGTATAAAATTATTTATTATATGACTGTTTCTAGTCGAATGGGATATGTTTCAAAAAATAGATTTTTTTGGCCCTCTAAACCAGGTTCCCCCCTTAAGGCTAGATTTCACTAGGTGGACCAACAGCAGATGACAGAGTAAAGACACGTGCAATTGATCGGAGTGAACAGAACTAATCGTTTACTCCTTTTTAACATGACCTAACCCGACACTGTGATGTGGGAACTGCCAGTGCTTTTCGTCATCGATTTGTCGAAAATTTCTTCTTGGTTTGCTAAGCTTCGTAGAATGCACCAAGTGTTTTGATCATCTGGAAAAGTGAGAGGGATTTTCATCACGGAAGCGACATAGGTGTCATCACTAAATCCTGTTAACCTAACTAACTGAAAGTGGTTGCAAATTTAATTGACTTAAACGACTTTTAGCGTAATTATCTAAAACTGTGAGACTCATTTCCACTGAAATGTAGATGTAGCAATTCCAGTCAGCTACTCATCTTTTTGAATTGGATTAAAATTTTAGATAACGAATCTCTTACGTTTCTGATACATTCTTACAATTTTCTAAGGTTGTAACAAACAATCATGAAAAGCATATACTCGAGTTTACTCTTAGGAATTGCAATGTACAATATAACTCGTGATTTCTGAACATTTAAACATCAGAGAAAAATTTAAAACTTTCACATATTTTTTCACTTAAAAAAAAAACATTTTTTTAAGAGAAGACGGTAGCACGAAAAAGACGATAGCTATGAGGCCGATTGCGAAGAGAGAATGAAACTATCTTTAAATTATTGTATCATGGCGAATTTATAAAGGTCTCCACCTAGACCTAGACTAGAGGGGCGAATTCAACTTGTTTTATTTAATTAATTCGCTTCAGTGTCAAAATCTTTGTTTATGTTTTGTATTTTTGTTTATATTTTGCTTTTTGTTTGTTTATACTTAATTTGAATTTCTAATTAAAAAACTTAAAAATTTCAAATTAGATTTTTTTGTGTTTTTTGTTTCAAATCAAAAATATGGTCATAGCTGTCTGGTCACGTTGCATGTGACCATCTAATGTTTGCATTATACCGTAAGTGATAGTCCTGCTACCGTAGATTTGAACAGTCACTCGGCCGCTTCCATGATTGCAAACAGTTCTGCTGTTGTGGACCGGTATTGTCATATTGATGTTTATTGAGGGACCGCTTTTTTTGGTCCTGTTTGGAAATCTTGTTTGAAGAGATTTTCAAGGCAATTCGTTGTGTTTTGTATGTATACATTATATATATATATAGAACGGGGAGATCTATAATTTTTCCAAGCTTCATAAGATGAAGGTTCTACGTATATCTGGATTCGTGTTTGCCAAAGAAATTTAAAAATGGGGTTTGATATACATACACCATTTTTGGAAAAGAAAATTAGGTTTATATAATATTATAGATAAATATAATATAATTTTTCAGTACTAACTGTAATCCCTTCCAAAGAGGAAGCTAACAAGGCAAGGCAAATTTACTCACGGCAGTAGCAAGAATACAAAAACAAAAATCCTATGCATTTTGTTTGTGTAAAATTACTTTAGGAATGTCAAAAGATGAATTCGCTCAGGCAACTTGCGTATTTTGTTTGAGTAATATTGCGTTCGAAATGCCAAAACTCTTATTTCGCTCTAATTCGTTATGCCACAATATGACAAGTCGATCGTTATTCCAGAAATAGTAAATAAAAATTTTGTAAAAAAAGTCGCGGTAGCTTAACCACTCAGCGTACTAACATTCGGAAGGCTCGGGTTCAAATTTCCGTGCGACCAACATCCAAAAAGTTTTAGAAAATTAATTTAAATAATAAATTAAGTTAAATTTCGGTCGCCCCTCGGCAGGGAATGCCCACCCCTCAGAGTGTACTTCGGACATAAAATAAAAGCACCCCGTAAAAAAACCATCAGCCGTTCGGAGGCGGCTTAGCATAAACTGTAGGTCGCTCCATCTGTTGGAAAAACATCAAGACGCAAAAACCACAAATTAGAGGAGGAGCCCGGCCAAAAATCGCTTCAGCGGTTACAAAGCGCTAATTATATGTATATATAATAAAATTTGAAGGAAAAATACTGAATGATAGTTTTCTACGCCTCGAAAATAGCCAGAATAAAACACATCGACTAAATATTTCAGAATTTAGCGTTGAAGAATGTGCATAATCGATAATAGTAAATATTACTTAGTGACTGCAACGTTATGAAGAAAAGGCATCTGAAAAAATTTTTACTTGCACCATTATAGGTAATATGAATGCAAATAAATTAATGTTTAGTGATAATAACATAATATAATAACATAAAATGAATTTAAATATGTAAACAAAACAAATCAGGCGAACTCGAAAAAAAGAACAAGCAAACATATGATGGGACAACTTCTCCTTTTATAAATTCGCCTTGGCTAACGACATCAACCTAATTTTTTGTTTTTCTTCATTTCTGACTTTTGTTTTGAATTATTGATTCAATTCGACAAACGCGAATTGCATGAACTCGCCATGCTTTTCACAATTGTTACACTGAAAACAAAAACAAAATACACGGTAATTGTTGTTTTTGTTCTCCTGCTCTGACTTTTAAGAATCCTCCTTGGTTTTTACTGCAACATTTACATATATGTACGTATGTATATATGTGTGTGCAAACATATATGCCTGTGCGTATGTGTATCCAATTATTAATGAAAATTTCAGATAATGCAGTTTTCAAATAAAGTTGAATTAATGCAAGAAATATTGAACAAGCCGCTGAGGTTGACTTTGATGATAGTGAAAAGGATAAGATACATATGTAATTAGATTACACCTTGGAAGGGGTAGAGTTGTTGTTCAATCAAATGCATAAATATATAAAAGAAGTAGATAACTAAAAGCACACAAATATCGTGTTTCTATTTTAAAAACATTAAAAAGCGCGAAGCGAACTAAAAATTGCGAGTATAAAATAAAGCGGAATAGAGAAAAAAATTAAGAAGAAACAAGTATCAAAAAATTAGCTTGAACAAAATATCTCTGTGTGAACGTGAAGAGCGAAAATTGCGATAATAAGCGAAAAAAGTATCTTCATGTAAACTCAGACTTAATGGTTAAAAAGCGCCAATTGTATGTTTATGTTTATATATGTATGTATATATTGTAATTATTCAATTTTTTCAACTTATTTTGTTCGCAATCTATCTTACGTGAGAAATTCAGCAAATGTGATAGAATTATGTGTACTTTCTCATTAGCTGCTAACACTATTAAAATTTAGAAATACTTCAGTTTCAGCTAAAACTTAACTTATTAGCTTAAACTTTAAATTTTAAAATTTTTATTTTTCTTAATTTTTATTTTTATTTATTTATAAATACTGGCGTGTAAGATATCTAGCGGTGTATTTTGGAATTTTACTATTTATAAAGGGTATGCCTAGCTCCTTTTTAATAGTCTCATTGGTAATAAGCCAGGGAGCATTAACCAATGAGATGTAAAGGTGACATGTACACACTTTTCCGAATTAACCTTAATTCTCCATTTGTCTAGCCAAGACTGCAAAACAGAGGCTTTTACAGTGGCGTTACCCCTTAATATTCATAAAAAAAAGATATTTGAAAGTTGATATTATTGTGATACATTTTTAAACATACCTGTACATAGTGTGCGCAGATATCAATCTCGCCTACAAAATTACACACATCATCTACGCTCCACTGGGATATTTCCTCACTTTGAGCTTGACATTGTAGAGCACCACTGATACACTGCATTGGAGATGTTGGGGGGATGCTTAGGTGGACATCGTTACATTTTTGAGCATCAGGACGGGTTGGTTTATTGTTGTCATTAACAATTAATTTGTTTTCTACTGTTCGCGATGGATAAGTTATTACTTCAAACGCTGCAATATTATTGCTTTTCTCAGGATTTAATTCTTCTTTAAATCGTTTGTCTATTGGAGGTTGAGAGCTCAAATCTAACGGCACCGTCCCCGAATTCAAAGATGATGTTAATTTTCTTTTGGAGGCTGAGCCGCTTGAATTAGATGAAGCAAAGCGAGGTTTATGAGTTGGACTAGATCGACATAAAGATGACGATGGCTGCTGTTGCAGTTGAATAGAAGAAATCAGCACTGGGGACACATATTGAGCGGCCTGTTGTAATGCAATATTGAGGTTGGCATTCGGTAAAGCAGAAATAGAGGAGGTAGGTTTTGAATTTGGCTGAGATGAGCGAAGTAAAGATTGAATCTCAGCTTCTTTAGCTGCACGGGCCTACAAAATTACAAAATGATTTCTTTTCTTTTAATTTAAACTAAAAATTTTAAACTCTACATTAGGTATTTATAAGGTCAGAGGTCGCTAAAAGGAACTCTCTTCTTTGCTAACTCACCAAAGTAATCAACGCCTGAGTACTACTCATATCCATCATTGGCAGGCATACACTTTGTGAAAATGGTAAACTGGTTAAAAACGAAGCAGCTGCAGCGGCCACGGCTACTTCTCCAGGCGACATTGATAACCGCTGTATGGGTTGTGGTTGTGTATCTTTACTGGTCAAAACACTCATTGTTGTTGCAGCCGCCACGTTTCTGTTCCCTGCTTGTTGATTATTGCTTTTGCTAGTAACAGGAATAGACGTTGATGAAGAAGTATCCAAAAATTGATTGCATCGAGTCGAAAGGGAACTAAAAATTTGAGTCAACAAATGAAAATATTTAGAATTTTTGTCGTACTTGTATACATACATATGTATGTATGTACATGCTGGAACGTTTTTATTTATTTATAAATAAATACCTACTTTATAGTGTGAGAATCATTATATTTGGCAGCCAAACTGCGCATAATATCAGAGTAATTTCGAGTCGAAAACTCTGTCTGAAGCACTGCCGTTGTGTTTAACAAATTAGCAGTGTCCATGCTGCCACTATCGTAAACAGATTTATTTTGATGCTCAGCGACCTGCTGCATTCGTAAAACCGTTGTTAAAGGCATTAGTGGTTCTGTTAAAATTTGATGTTGCGGTTGAACCCGGAACGATTTAGGTTTGATGCTACGTAATCTATAAAACAAAATGAATGTTAAAGCAGTTATAATATGTAATAATAAGTATGTAAATATGTATTTAATAGGACATTTACAAAATTCATAAAAAAAATAATGTTTGGAAAGTAACGGTTGGAATTTTCTACGATAAAAAAATTAAAAATGTTTCTCTAATCTGTGTGAACTGATTACTCAATTGCCATATTGCAGTAAAGGCAGACCAGCTCTAAAATTTTGTTACGTTTAAAATTATTTAGAAGTGGTATTCGATCGGTTGCTTTTATGTTAGTTGCAGTGAAACATAAATCTAGTTTGAAAAAGTTAATATATTAAAAATCACCCGATTTAATATTTAATCTTGATCGGAAATAAAAGAATGAACGAACAATCGAGACAAGTAATTGGCATAGGAAAAATGTCTGAAATTTTCCCTGTACAAATTCGCAACTTCTCCTCCAAATTAAATTGCCTCAACGAACTCGATTCAGTAAACATTGGTAAGAAGTGTTACTCCTAACAACACAAGTTAAGGAGCTGCAAAAGTTGTGATGGTATACTGCAATAATTCAAGATGTATTTTTTATTATTAAGCTTCTTATTGTATTTTCTTTACTTTTTTAAAATGTGATTTGAAAACAAACACTTTGTATTTCAGGGGCAGCATTTACGATTTTAAATAAATGTTTCTATAAGATTTAGGCATATCCGCTTACCGTACCGTTGCAGCCTAAGTGTTCACTGATTTAATCTGTACCCACCGCTCATAGCTCACCGCATTAAGAGCTGTACCAAAAACATCGCAATCCCTTTCGATGAAAAAGATATATATACATATGTATACATACATATATGTATATAAAAATTTGATTGTATTTTGATTTCAGAAAACAAAAGAAACTAGAAAGAAAAAGAAATAAGAAAATGCTATGAAGAAAAGTTTTTGTAAAAAAAGCGGTAAATAGTAAAGCAGAACTAATTACATTTTGATCTACTGGAGCGATACGACGGGCAATAACCACAAACGGTACACTGCACATTAATTGAAATATCTAACACCAAGTAACCTGTTGCATCTATGTACATGCTTACATGCATATCCGATATACGATATACGAACACACGCACATAAATAAAGTGCTAAAAATATTACTTTAACACCGTTCTCAATGTGCCGCTTCGCTTCATGTCAACACGATAACCAAACAACACAGTTCTGCAAATGCAATTTTTACGAGTTAAATATAAGCTAGGAAACGAAATAGTATCGTTTCGTTTGCTAATTATATCTGAGCAATACTATTTGACATTAGTTTTTGAACACAAAGTTTTTCTGCGCAATCAATTCAGTCGAGTTTTAATGTTCGGAGTACCAAAACTTAGCCCTTCTCTTATTTTAGAATATAGATTTGTATTCATATTTGCTAAAAACGATGTTACGACTATTGACATGCTAATTAATGAATAGTGAGCTCTTATATTATTTTATGTTACGAAGTGATGGGAAAACTTAAACTTTGTTTTCAAAAGGATGTTAAGTAACACAAATATTTACATATATATATATATATATACTTACATACATATGTAACTTACTAGCGTTATGTGCATACATACATATGTATGCTGCCCATGGATATGTATGACCGCATATAAACATCATTAATGGCTCGCTACCAACATTGAAAGCTTTGAATTGTAATTGCTTTAGCACAGATGGGTAGGTTTTTATTTATGAAGTAAAATTGTTAAAATGCTTTTTGGAATAATTATTTTCATGTTTCATGCTAGTAAACCTGGACGCGTGGATACATGTAAGCCACCGTCTCAATTATGCACTGAAGCATTATATTCAAACATGCAACCACATTTACCCAAGCTTTCACTGATTCACAAGTTGAATATTTTGTTAAAACTTGTCGTTTTGCGTCCTATAGTCGGCTTGTAGAGGATTTTTGACTAAAATGATAACCCAAGTAAGATCTCCAGCTCATTAAATACAAACAAAGCAATATTCATATTTGCATAGGTTATTTTTATTTTTTAAAACAATTACTTTTTACATATAATAAATACTTTGACTATCAATACATATGAAGTTCTTTAGTTTCACATTATTTATAGGACGTCATAAACAGGCCTATTCCGTCGAGGTAATAAAATTTACTTTGGTATTGAAATTTACCATTCAGTAAATTTTGTTACCATTTCATATTCTGAGTTCATTGTCACCCTGTAAATTTTGTTGCCTGCGAAATAGGAGCTAATAAAAAATCTGCTGTTTGATTTTATGTTGTTAATTTGAGAAAAAAAATCATAATGTGTAGGCATATTTTACGAAAAAAAGTGCAAAAATGCTTATGTTAAGAAGTTTGCGAGAAAAAAATGACCCATTTAATTTGGAAGATAGCGTTTTCACTCAGCTTTTTTTGTCGTCCTGACATATTTTCATTATTTACGACTTAATAAACAAATAAAATAAAAAGTTATTAATTTTTTTGCGCTACGTCTTCCTTGTCGATGCGAATATTCTTCTTTCAACTTGTTGAAGACATAGATAAGAATGACCTCATCATCCTATAAACAATAAATTTGATAAAAATAATTAAAATGAACTATGATATAATATACTAAATAAATTTATAATTAAATGAATACCTACCCGAATATTTACCTGAAAACTCACCTCCCTGAATTTACTCATACTCTAAACACATTTACCTGCAACCCTACTCCGCTCTGTTATTCATTATAAAAAATATACAAATCTATATATATATGTGAAAAAATAGTATAAATAATATAATATAAAAGCTTAGTCCTCGGTTGCAAATCTTTAAAATATTTAATAAAAAGTTCGAAATCAAACACAAGTGTTTATATTTATTTTCGAACATTTTACTCTACTTTACCCACTGGCAAATGTAATTTGACATGATCGAAAAAATGAGTGCTGCCAAAGTTTTGTCAAACAATGCAACCTGTGCGCTAGAATACCAAATTCAATTTCAGGTGTTAAAAAAAGTAACAAAATTTACTGTACAATTTTTAACAGTGAGAAAAGGCCTGAAAAAGTTGCATAGTTAGTATGTTTTTAATTTTGATTTATTTATATATTCAAAAAATTTGGCGTGATCTTAGAACGAGAAAGTTCCTTTTTTTTGCAAACGAAAAAATAGTAATAAAAATTTCAGCTTGTGATAAATAATAGATTAAATAGAATAAAACCTCTGAAAGAACTAAAGAGCATTATTTTCTTTAAACCTTAATAACTAAGTTTCCAAGCTAAAGTAAGTAAACCTGAGTAATTTTGAGTGAGCGCCGCAGGCAATTTGTTCAGTAATTAGTTGGTTAATAGGATAACGATCGGTTCACTTTTGCACTTTTTCAACTTGTATCTATGAGATTTACAGGCCTATTCTTTTTGTTACCGGTAAAGTAAATTTTGTTACTTTTATTTAAAAGCCGAAATTTAATTTGGTATTCTGGCGAACTGGTTACAATGTTTGAAAAAAATTTGGCAGCACAGCTTTTTTCGTACATGTCAAATTACATTAGCCAGTTGATAAAGTAAAAAGAAAAAATATTCACATCGAAATGGAAGACGGTGCACAAAAAAATTAAAAAGTTTTGTTACTATCATTAAATCATAAATATTTGGACCTAATTATGGAAAATATGCCTGGACAACAAAAAAGCCGAATGAAAACGCGATCTTACAAATTAAAGGGCTATTTTTTAGTCTCGAAAATTTCTTAAAATACGGCTTTTTGCACTTTTTCTTCATCTTCAATGAATTCCAGGCCTAAAATATGCCTAACCATTTTGGTTTTTATTTTTTCTGAAACTAACAACACAAAATCTAACAGCAGATATTTACAGGGTAACAGTGAGCTCAGAATACGAAATGGTAACAAAATTTACTGAATGGTAGGTTTTAATGCCTAGGTAAATTTTGTTACCTCGACAGAATAGGCCTGTTAAGGTAAAACTACACCTGAAGTGATTTTGAAAGGATAATAAAGCTTATTTCTACAATAATATTTTCCAATTTGCTTCATCTCCCAATGATTTACATACTTGCCTGTCATCATTTCAACTTCATTTAGCTTTCTTCAGTTAATAGATACATATGTATGGATTAATACATAAGTTTGTATATGCGCATATGTGCATATGTATTTATCTGAATTGAAAAGTGACAACAAATGGCAATGAACTTTGTCAACCTGGCACCAACATCGCGCCAATAATGTGTACTCGTGTCCATAGGTCGTATGTACTCATATACGTATAAGTAAGTACAACGGTAAATAGTCATCATAATTGTACTTGAATTTTGTGCCATGAACGGATTGGTATTATTGACGCATGGTGCTCATTAAAAGAGTGCTCAAACAACACTCTCAATAACTAAGGAGCCAAACATGTTAGGAGTGCTCAGTTTCCTCATACACATACTATATTCATACAAATGTACAGTGGTTCACAGCCAAAGTGATGCAGCTGTGTAAGAAATAGTATAAAAAGTTTTATTTAAAAATTAAATAAATTTTCCAAAAAACATGAATGCCAGTTAATAGCGGCAGATAAAATAAAATAAACTTCACTTTTAATTGTAACTCACAGTGAAAATGATGCACAAAGATTTTCCTTTAGTGGCGGCGTCTGTCGACGATTTTTGAATGCAAAATAAATGCCGCTATAATCGCGAGCATTTTAAGAGTGCATATCAAAAAGGGTCGCCAAAATAGTATTGAAGTACGCGAATTAGTCCTACAACATTACGAAGACGGCAAAAGTCGGCGTAAAATGGCGGAAATGGTGAAATTGAGCCAAGGAACTGTTTAGCATATCATTTAACGCGATGTTCATAAAAGTCGTGTTTTAAATAAAACTAAATCGGCTTACAATAAAATATTTAACGAAAGTGATTCCCCCACTTGAGTGCTCCAGCTTTAGGTAAAGTAGTGCTAAAATATCTTGGAAAAAGCTGTAACCCAGAAACCATACGAAGAATCATCAGAGAAGCTGATTTCAATGGCCGCAAAGCTCGAAATAAGCCATATGTGAGTGCTAAAGGAGCATTTATATAAAGATAAAAGTTTCTGGGACACCGTAACTTTTGTGGACGAAAATGAAATGAACCTGTTTAGATCAGATGGAAACAGCTTTGTATGGAGAAAATCAAATGCTGCGTTGCACCCGCAAAATGTACATAGCACTGTAAAACATGGTGGAGGGTATGTACTTAAATATTCGTGACAAGTTTCAGTACTATGAAGTTAATGATCCGAAACACAAATCAGGAGTTGTGCAAAGTTGCTTATTTAGGACTGCCCGCGCATAGCACAAACCCCCTCGCAGTTTCCAGATTTTAATGTTATTGCTGTATATCGGCGGCTATTAACTAGCATTCATGTTTTTTGGTGGCTGTGAGCCACTGTATGTAATATAACAGTCAATTTGTCGGTATCTGACCACAAATCGACATTCGGCACTTAACACCACCTATACACCGACATTCGAACGTTTATTTGTAACTACATACGTACATACATACATACGTATATGTACATGTTCATGTTTGGTTATTTATACATACATTTCACTTCTCTATTAATTAAAGTATCAAAAAATACAATATTTATTTAGAGGTAATTTTTTTTGTACATATTTGTTTGTATGTAAGTATATACAACATATGTACGTGTAATGGGTTTCAAAAGTCATTAGAAGTTATTATTTTTAGTCGAGTGATTAGCAATGAGCATTGTCATTCGGAAGGCTAGGGTTCGGGTTCTGTTGCTGCATTCCCTCTGCAGGGAATGTCAACCCCTCTGAGTATAATTCTGACATGAAATAAAAAACTCCTCTTACGTTCGGAGGCTGCTTGGAAA